TGGCAATAAAGAAGCCAGCGACAAGCGTCAAAAATAGCATCGTGTAGAGCATTTTTCACACACCCACACGCAATTTCACAATTTTAAACGATAGCGAATAAAAAACGAACATCTGAAAAAATTTTTATCACCGAATTCTCGACGAATTAAAAGCTTACTTAAAGCGAATAAAAGCAGCATCGTGTAAAGCACTCTTAAGTGTAGATCAGAGTGTATCAAAAAATTTATTTTCGGAAAACTGACCTGAGTTAGACGATCCTCCTGATCTTTCGAAGAGGACGTGAATGCCGTCCTCATTAGCATAAATACTTTTAGTAAAACACATAATATTTTTAACGTTTTAACATAGTAAGTTTTCTCCTCTTGTACATGTTTGTACTCGATTGGCTTTCAACTGGTGACCAACAGCTATTAAATACCATAGAATCTTCTCAATGATTTAAATATATTAATCAAATCAATATCCCTTCAATGTTTTTCGCAGAGTCGGATCTAGGCTAGAGCGAACGAAGCACTCGTTTCGGATGAAAGACATGAGGGGACATAGAAATGAACAGTAAATTGAATAATTTTTTAGAAAAATTTTTTTATAAAAATGCGAAAATGATATTAACATCAACTTATGTAGCAGTTCAAGTACCTATATCAAACGTATGTTATTTTAACATGCATTTGTGCGTATGTGGAAAAAGCAGGCGTCCATTGCTAATAATGCCTCGGATGAGAAAATATCTCGATCCGGCTCTGATCATTCATATAGATTATAAATTATTAGCTGACGTTTGTTTCTCGCGCGCTCTGCGCACTCAATATGTTTGCGGATTTATGAGGATGAGCAAATAACAATTCAAATATAAATTCGAAAAACTCGAGTTCAGTTTTTGATTCAAGGAAATAATGATAAATGCATCAATCGCGCGCGTAAAAGAAAACAATGTATAGATAATTAAGTCATAATTGAAAAGAATACTTATAATTATCAATTTGCATTTTTGACATGTAATTTGCGAATAACATTTTCCCTGAAAATTATTTATAATAATTATAAATTACATTTAAAATTTCACTTGATAAAATATTGTCCTCAACGGTAAATTAAAAAAATATATATAACATAATAAAATCTCTATATATTGTATATAAAGTTAATAACTTGAATTGTAATTTTATAAAAAAAATGATTAAATGTAATGTTAACTGTATTTTAAAATGTGAGCAAAAGTAAATAAAAGCAATATTTCTTAACAGATATTATCTAGAATCGCAAGAATTCATTGCTCCATACAAAAATATATACACATAAAATGAATTACGATTGATTCATCTCTCCATGTCCAATAATATCCAACGAACTTATTATAAGTATCAAATCTTCTATGTTATTTCTGAAGGTTTTGATATTTTCGAGACAATTTGTAAAGTCTGGTCTACCAATTACAGATTTCCAACAATGTAGCATCAACTGATACAACATCGGTGGACAGTTGAGAGGTTTTGGCAGTTTGCCTCCCTCACGCACATATTCTATAACTTCGGAATAATTTTTGCCAGGATAAGGATGTTCACCCAATGACATAATTTCCCACATTAGTACTCCGAAAGCCCAAACATCGCTTTGTGAAGTAAATATTCCAAACACTAAAGATTCCGGTGCCATCCAGCGAACAGGAAGCGGGTGGCCTCCTTTCTAAAACACAATTATATAACACAATTAAGTTATTTTTATCGAACTTCCTTCAGAAGTTTAGAAACAAGCGTTATGCGTATACAATCAACTCTCATTTTCCCTTCTTCATAGGTATACAAATAAAAATATTTATTTTTACCGTTATAATCAGCTTAAAATTGTATTATTATAAAAAAATAGAAAAAAATTTTAGCTCTCTCAAATAATTGTATTTACCATACGGTAATAGTGATCCTTGTAAATATCTCTAGCTAGTCCAAAGTCGCCGATTTTCACAATACGGTTTTCATGATTTCTTACGGATATTAAGCAATTTCGACACGCGAGATCTCTATGCACAAATTGCTGCCTTTCTAAGTAACAACAGCCTCGAGCAACATCTTCGCACATGGCGAGCAAGTCTTTCAGACGTAACGCGCACGAATCTGACGATTGCAATGTTCCATTTTCTTAAATAATTCAATAAGTCACCAGGTTCTATTAATTCCAATATAAGTAACGGTGAATTTGTGTCCAAACAAATACCTAATATTCTTAGCACATTTTCATGTCGAAAGTGGCTCATAAGTTTAGCCTCTTTCAAGAATTCCTTTTTCTCTGTCGAAGAAGTTTGTCTTTTCAGCATTTTTATCGCAACTGGTGTTGTGTCCAACTTTTCAAAATCTTTGATGATTCCTTGATATACCTGTGAAATATTACATAATTAACAGACAAATCGATAAAATGTATGCTAAAAATGTTTATCCTATTTGACTTTCTCAAAAAAATTTTAATTTTAACAATTACTTTTATTTAAAATATGTTTGACCATGAATTTAGGCGAATAAAAAAAAAAAAATATATTTAAGAATATACTTAAGTAATAAGAAATTAATACCTACAATACCAAATGCGCCGCTACCTAGAAACTTTGATTGGCTAATTTGATTTGTTGCGATTATGGCCAACGCAAATTTGTCTTGATTATATTGCAATCTAGGAGTGTTCAGCAAATTGAGTTAAACGTACTCGAAAGGTATTTCATTTAAAGATACTAATTCCGTATTGATCATTATTGGAGGCGAAACTATTTCGTTATTTCCTTTGCGTTGTTTGTATGCTGTCATATAAAAAAACTTTTAATACACGGCATAATGCTCCGCATTGCAATATTTTAATTCTTTTTAATTCTTTTTAATAATGTCGACTTTTACAGATTTTATATATACAAATATCTATATACCAAATCTGAAATAATTTATAATCCAAATCCGAAATTTATATCAAATATACTTACAACAATAAAAGTAGTAAACATTGTATATTACAATGATTACAATAAAACATAATATTAATGGCAGATAATATTGCAAAGCTGTCCCAGTTGCGCCAGGATCTTTTATGCATCATCTTTGTTACACAAGAGTACAATTCTTCGTTTTATTGGATTTTTTACTTAAGATATTTTATCATAATATCTAAGAACTACATTACTTAAAATGAACACCAAAGAAGGGATGAACGTAATAAAATTAATAAATTGCTAGTTGGTCGACATAAATTTCAAAAAAATAAAATGATGAACACTCTTCTCTCGACCAAACTGGCAAAGTTTTATTAATTCACTTTACAACGTTTCGACCATGATTTAAATTCTTAGCAAGTGATTTGCGAAATGTAGTTAAAATTTAGGAAGTAAGCCAAGTAATGTCAAGGACATGATGTCAGCTTGACACAATGTACTCAATCGCTTACTTCTTAAAATTAAAACTACATTTCGCAAATCACTTGCTGAGGACTTAAATCATGGTTAAAACGTTATAAAGTGAATTAATATAATTTTGCCAGTTTGATCAGGTGTTCATTAATTTTTTTTAATTCTATTTGGCGATTCTTCATGCACATATTTATTAATTAATATTAAGACATTTTACTTAAAACTTCATTATTTAATTTCTAATGCGAAAAAACGTTAAGATATTCTTAAAGTAAACACATGGTATTATATCGTCTTTATTTGCTTATCGAGCGTTTCAAAAATAAATTCTTCTCCATTAGACGGCCATATAAAATTTTTTCTATACTCAGTATATTTTAAGTTCAAACGAAATTTGTACTTAGTTTGCGGCAATAAATTTTCTATGTAATATGTTATTTTATCATTATTCTCTTCAATATTATTCGCAATTTCCCATATTCTCTTTTGTGACGCAGCATTTTTGTATTCCAGTATAAGGAATTCAGTAGGAATCGTCAGATTAACGCTTGGAATCCACGAGATATTCATACTGTTTGTACCGACCCCATTCAAACTTAAATTATTTGGTTCGGACATGTAAACTGTTTCTATTACACTGTCAGTGACGACATCTGTGCGAATGATTGGATACACACTCACGTATGTCTCGTATTTTTGCTTTGGTATCAGTGACGGAATTACCGCGAAAAACTTGCCATCTGTCGTACGTTCTAGCTTATTGAAGACTTTTATGAAGCAAACCGAATTGAGTGTGAGAACCGATATAATTGTAAAGTTTTATCAAGAGGTACGGTACGAGAGAAAATGCCCTCTCCAAAATGGATTTTTGGAAGACATTCATATAATTTTTTTTGCTTTGGAAAAGAGCATTCCCCTTTCTTAAAATATGTATTTCTTGATAAGAAATTAAGTAAATTTTTTACTATCAATAGATAAATAACGATAATAATAATTGATTGATTTCGAAGACTTAAAACTTTGCAATTACAACCATTAATATCCGTTACGATTAAATATTCATCGTTTATTATCCAATATATTAGCGGCTCGTCAATATTTGTTGTATCAATCGTCATGAGATTGTACTTAATTTGCAATCCTAGAAATGTGTTGAGGCAGAAGCATTTATTGTTTGTCATATATTTGTTTTCTTTCTACCATTGAAATCCGTTTGCACTATTGAAGAATGTTCTGTCCAATAAAAATGTCTGAAAAATATTTATATTGCTCACTTTTATTAAAACATTATTATAATTATCTATCACATACTAATATGTGATTATTTATATCTTATACGTTTCTATGTAAATTTATGATTCCATTGCTTATGGATTTTCAATACAAAATCTGCATATTAAATTGGCAAGTTATAGAACAACACAAATCTTTAATTAAAAAAGACACAATATATTGTTCAATTTGTTAGATTAATTAAATTTAATGTACCTCTTATATGGCAATACTGTTAAAAATATATCAGACTTTGCAGCAAATGCGATTTTTTTGTATGTTTGATGTCTTTTTTGTTGTAGTAATATTAAGTCGAATTTTATAATGTAAATATGATCGTCAATATCATATTCTAACCAATAAACTGCCACGAATCCAATCAATGCACAGAGAATATGCATAGCCTCCCATTTCTGCTATTATTGTAAAATTTTGATTCGTTTCGATTGCGTTCGGATTAAATTCCAATGTTATTAACTTTGAGGCGTGAATAATCCCATAAATTTTATGTTCCAATGCTGAGTAAACGATGTCAGTACAGTATTTATATATATCACGTTCAAAGCCGATCTGTAAATCTATATCCAATACATAAAATTCACTTTTCTTTTTGACGAGTAATAAAGGTACTGGATTCTCATGTGTGGTCGACACATTGATAAACTTAGTATAAGTGCCAGCACCAAATTTGTTATGCGCTTGTACTTTGAAATAATACACTTCATCAGGTTTTAAATTGTACACTTTAAGTTGCAATATCGTGAAATTTGAGATTATAGCAACTCTTCTATGAATTATTTGATTCTCAAAAAACCAATATTGAACTGTATATTTTTGTATCACTCCATTTGTAAATTTAGGTTTGTTCCACCTATAAAGGATATAAAATATTATATCTTTTTATTTTTAACAAATTTCTGAAATCCATTTACATATAATTATCTATTTACACGAGACATATAGAATAGTTTCATTTAGAAAATCGGGTTGACCTTGAAATAATCTTAAAAACGTTATCTAAAATGAAACTAATAAAGCAAGTAAAATTCCTTTAAAATCCTACAACTTTTATTTAGAACATTTTTTCATAAAGTATATGTAATATTTTCGAGATTTTTCGCCGTTCTGATTTTTTTTGTACCACCTCCCATATACAGGGTATTTCATATGTAGTGGCAAAATTTCAGGAATGGATTTCTCATACTTAGAGACGACAAAAGTTATACACACATAGGTCTGGAAATGATTAGTTTTGAGTTTTAAGATTTTTGTAACAAAAATTTTTGTCTCATTTCTCGTCTTAAAAGTCCTCATTTAAAGGTATCAACGATGTTTTTCAAGTCCGCCGGTCTATGTTTACAGACATGGTGGACATTTAAAACATTTCCTCTAATTGTAAGACGAGAAATGGGACAAAAATTTTGTATTACATAAATCTAAATAACTAAAAAACTAATCTTTTTCGGACCTATGTTCATACATATCTATACCTTTTTTTCTTCTCTATCAGCATAAGGAATCCATTCTTCAAATTTTGAGCACCGCTTAAAAGAAACCCCTGTATATACACTGTATGTACACATTGTATTGTATATAAAATAAAACTTAAAACACTGCAAAGTACCAGATTTAAGAACGCAAGTATTCATTATTTACCTGAATGTCACAATAATGTCTTTCTGATTTAGTCTGTCGTTAAATTCCACAAATGCTCTAGGACATGTTGGCTCGCTTGGAATGCTTTCTGAAGATGGTGTAGATTCTCCTTGAAGCAAAATGTATACTCAATTATATGTAAGGGTCCAGTATGTATGTAATTCGTTCTAGTTCATAAAATCATGCATAGAAAATGTAAATGCGGTATCTCATAATCGGTACCTTTACCTTATATATATATATATATATATATATATATATATATATATTGACATACATGGTCTGTCAAAAAGGAATGAAATTAAATAAATACCGCATATTATGGCAACGTTGTAAAAATCATAATCATATGCGGAATGTAAAATATCATCTTTCCTTCAAAAACTACAAGTTTTAATTCATTCAGCTGTATTTATATATGTCTAATTATAACATTTTTTGTAAGTATAAACCTCTCCTCGTTATTGTTTTCATGAATCGTTATTCAGAGAAAAATATTAAACAAATATAAGCGATAAAAGTTAATAATTAGTACTTATATTTTAACGCATGCTTAGATTATATTATTTCATAATAAATTTTGATGATTTGAAATAAATGTACATACACAACATTTTATATACATTTATATGCATATTTTTTAAAACTTATTAGATTTTGAAATATTTACAAATAGGAGCTTTTAAAAATACTTATACTTTACAAATGAACTCTTACCGACTTCATTTCTTACTCTCACAGTGTCGTTTTCAAAATAATACTGAACAGATTCGAGATTTGATGACACGTACTCATGGACATCGATGAATCTGAAGGATGGGTTATCCTAGTAATAAATATGCATCATATAACTTATAAAAATCTACTATTCCATTGAATCACATGATGAACAGTACATAATGTGAGATTAGATTAAAACTTATTTCGCAAATAATTTAATAAATAAGTCGTTGGAGTAATAAATGCAAAATTCCAAATAGTAAAATTAATGTATATGTGATAGAAATCCCAACTTTCAAATTAATGTTCAATTTTATTACAAATAGAAATGGCCCTTCTTTTGCTTTTGCAGATAATCAAATAATTAAAATAAGTCATTAAGTCATTTGGATCAAGTAACTATCACTTATTCAAAAAGATGACTGTTTTCGATATTTTTATAATTACATAAATGACATGCATTGAGCTAAGTTAAATTATTATAAAATAGAACTAGAAAGAAATATATAACATACTGTGTAAAACACCGTTTAAAGAAATTGTTCTTATTGTGTTTCTGATCAAAATATCTTTTTAAAAACCAAAAATTTTTTTGCATTAAAAAGAAAGTTGCAAAAAAAAACGCACGATTAGATGAATAAAAGTTATGAAGAATTTATATATACTACTGTGGGCAAAAAATACCGGGAATTTGTTTATAAATCAAAAAATCTTTATTTATTCTTCTAAATTCATTTCATCTCTCTCAAAGTAGTCCCTCCCGGATGCAATACATTTGTGCCAACGTTTTTTCCAATTTTCAAAACATGCTGCAAAGTCCTTTTCCGGTATAGCCTTTAATTCCTTCTTCGTTTCGGTTTCTATCTCTTCTATCAATTCAAAACGGTGTCCACGGAGCGGTCTCTTAGTTTAGCGAATAGCCAGAAGTCACATGGTGCTAAGTCAGGCGAATACGATGATTGCGGAACGATATGGGTCGAGTTTGTGGCAAAATAATCACGAATTACGAGTGCAGTGTGAGATGGTGCATTATCGTGATGCAAAACCCAAAAATTGTCTCTCCACAAATCCGGTTTTTTTTGACGCACAGCATTACGCAAACGACGCATAACACCCAAATAGTATTCTTTGTTGACAGTTTGGCCGGTTGGAAGGAATTCATAATGCACCACACCACCACACCATTTAAATTCAAATTTTCCGGTATTTTTTGCCCACAGTAGTATATATATATATACAATATATATATATATATAGGGTGTCCGGTAACTAACGGACCAATGATTAAAGGCGGATTCTATGGCCAATTTGGAGACGATTTTTCCTTAGCAAAAATGTTGAGAAGTCAATAATTTTCGAGTTATAAGCGATTGAAAACAATGGGTTGTTTGAAAACTAAACGTTTTGAAGTTAAAAGTCTAACATAATTATATTTTTCAGTTAATTTCAGGTAGAGTTTACTATAATAAAATTTTAATTTGAGGCTTAGTTATAAAGATACATATAGACAAATATTGGAAAGTTGTAAAAAATTATGACCTTTTTCGACATTTTCGCTGAGGAAAAATCGTTCCCAAATTGACCAAAGAATCCCTTTGTAATTGTTGGTCCGTTAGTTACCGGACACTTTGTATATATATAACTGTGAGTCTTACAAGCCCGGTTCTCTTTAATTGTTAAAACAATTTTGTCTAATAATTTAGTTTTTATATTAATTTCATGTACACATATGTGTTAACGTATACTTTAAATGATAAATTGTATATCAACTTGAACATATAAAAAACAATAGCTGCTGTGTATATTATTGGCCTTGAAACTGTTTGATTGAGAACGCAATTTATTGTACCGAACTCCTATTTCAATATTTAGTAGTTTTCTACGCATGCAATTTATCCTGAAAAGTCCTAATTTTTTATATTGATTACTTTAAATAATAAATAACTTACTTAAAAATTTTACACCAAAATTAATAAATATAAATATTTGAGAAAAGTTTTAGACATCACAAGAGAATAATATGAGAATGTGTGTATAAAAAATATGATATACATACATGTATGTTTATCATGTAACAGAAGATATATGGAATGAATAACAAAATCATTAATATTAACAATTCGTAACAAAACAATTTTATCAACATATGTTACGTTTAAGTTTAAATATTCATTACAATTAAATTTAAATGTGTAACAATATAACATCAATCTTTAAATATATGACGTAAAATTAAACTTTACTTTTTTTATATCATTAATTTTACATAAATAGTGACATGCAAGATTAATATCACAAACAATCCATTGTCTGTAGTATATATAACATTTAATTTAATCACGACGTCTAATATTAATAATAAAATAATTAATGCTCTCGTCAAGCGAACTAACTGAGCGACTAGCAGCAGCATCAAAAAACGCTCCGTGTAAAGATGATAGCGAATAAATAACCAGGCAAATAGCAAATAATTCGGCATCCTGCGCATATGCGAGAAAAATTTTTGCTAAAACGCTTGCGACTTTATTTTTCTTTATCAACAACGTATAAATGATTTGACGGTAACGACTTCGTCTCAGCCAGAAATTCGTTTTGAATCAAAAATGAAAAGCTAGCAATAAAAAGAATAAAAAACGAACATCTAGAAAAAGTTTCTATCAGCGAATTCGCTGATAAATTAAAAAACTTACTCAAAGCAAATAAAAACAGCATCGTGTAAAGCACTCTTTAAGTGTAGATCAGAGTGTATAAAAAAATAAATTTTTGGCAAACTGACCTGAGTTAGACAATCTTCCTGATCCTTCGAAGAGGACGTGAATGCCGTCCTCATTAGCATAAATATTTTTAGTAAAACACATAAAATTTTTAACGTTTTTAACATAGTAAGTTTTCTCCTCTTATAGATGTTTGCACTCTATTGGCTTTTATTCTTGACTGGTGACCAACCGCTATTAAATACCATAGAATCTTCTCAATGATTTAAATATATTAATCAATTCAATATCCCTTCAATGTTTCTTGCAGAGTCAAATCTAGATCGCGCGAAGCACTCGTCTCGGATGAAAGACATGAGAGGGCATAGAAATGAACAATAGATTGAACAATTTTTTTAAAAAAGTTTTTTTATAAAAATGCAAAAATGATATTAATATGTAGCAAACATTAGACGCCGCGAATTAAAGAAGAAATTTGCTCAAAGTGAATAAAAGCAGCATCGTGTAAAGTACACTTTAAGTGTAGATCAGAATGTATAAAAAAATGAATTTTCGGGAAATTGACCTGAGTTATACAATCTTCCTGTCCTTCGAAGAGGACGTGAGAGCCGTCCTCATTAGCATAAATACTTTTAGTAAAACACTTAATATTTTTATCGTTTTTACCATAGTAAGTTTTCTCCTCTTATACATGTTTGCACTCAATTAGCTTTCATTCTTGACTGGTGACCAACCGCTATTAAATACCATAGAATCTTCTCAATGATTTAAATATATTAATCAATTCAATATTTCTTGCAGAGTCGAATCTAGATCGCGCGAAGCACTCGTCTCGGATGAAAGACATGAGAGGGCATAAAAATAAACAATAAATTGAACAATTTTTTTAAAAAGTTTTTTTATAAAAATGCGAAAATGATATTAATATGTAGCAATTCAAGTACCTACCAAGCTTATGTTATTTTGACATGCATTTGTGCATATGTAGAAAAAAGGGGCGTCAATTGCTAATAGTGCCTCGGATGAGAAAATATCTAGATCCGGCTTTGATCATTTGTATAGATTATAAATTATTAGCTGACACTTGTTTCTCGCGTGCTTTGTGCGCTCGGTATATAGTTGCGGATTTATGAGGATGCGCAAATAACAATTGGAATTTAAATTCGAAAGACTCGGGTTCAGTTTTTGATTCAACGACTTTCGGATCATTATTTTTTTCGTCTTTTTTCTACAAATGATTAGGGAGAAATAAGCGAATTCTCGGTGTAATCAACGTCATCCGCGTTTAGCTCTTATAGCTTATTTATTCTTAATATACTTTCATTTTTAGTATGTTAAAGCTTGTATGTTTTTATTTATTTAGAGTTTGCACATTATTTTTTATACTATTAATATACTTTTAAACTTGAACTAATAATCTACATATGTTAGTTTTTTAAAGATTTTGCTTGTATTTTTAATGTTTTCTCAAATTTAACTTTTATGTTTTTTATGTGTTTTCTTTATTTTATCATGATTTGCTTTACATTTTTATATTTTTACGCGACAAGGGGGCAAGTAGATTTTAAGCCGATGTTCTATACTTACTTACTTGTTTATACTTTTATCTATATCTATACTAATATACATATAAAGAAGTAAAGTTTGTTTGTTCCATTGTGTGGGATAATCTGAGAAACTAATAAATTTTTTACTGGTGTATATCCTTCTGAGTAACATAGCTTATGTACAATCGTCTTACAACTTCTAAAAATGTGCGCGTTGTACAAAAAATGCGTTCTTTGCTCTTTATATTTTTCAATAATTTAATAATTTAGCGTAAAAACTACACGACCGATTTTGATAAAATCTTCACCAGTACATTTGTATGAATATAGTATGAATTATTTACGCTGCAACGTTAAATTATAAAATTGTTGGAAAAATATAAAGCGTAAAGAACGTAAAGAATTTTGTTGTACAATACGCGCACATTTTTAGAAGTTTGCAAGACGATTCCATATAGCCTATGTTACTCAGGAAGATCTAAGTTATTCACCTGTAAAAGATTTTTTCTAATCGGTTGAGTATAGTTTCTGAGATTACCTCAAACAATGAAACAAACAAACTTGACCTCTTTATATATTATTAGTATGGATTAAATAAAGTTTTCTTAGATATTACACGTCATATGCAATTTTTTTCTTTTTAATGATATTTATTAAAGTATATTTAATATGATTAAAAGTAAATACATAATTATATGTATATTCTAATAACGCAATAATCATTAAAATTATTTCATTTGCGATGATATACATATGTAAGAAATATGGACAACAATATAATCCTCTACAATTTCTAAAACAATTACAATTGAGCTTTACATTTTACTATGTAAAAATACTTTACCCTAAAAATTATAATTATATACTTTATTAGATATTATTAATATTTATTCAAATTTATTTTGGATTTTATAAATATTTATCACTGTTGTTATTATATAATTATACTTTATATTAATTACAATTATATGTAATATTTTATATTTATGTTATTATTAATGTATAGAAACACAATTATTATGTAAAAATAAATATATACTTATTTTACTGATTTTACTTAATTCTTCAGTCGCAGATAATAAGAAAAGCGGGTTATCCCACGGAAACTCACATTGTAACGACAGAAGATGGCTATCTTTTGACGTTACATCGTATTCCGGGTGGCAACGGCTTTCTATCTGTATTACTGATAAATGATATTTTTTGCACTTCTGTTGTTTGGGTCACTCTTGGCAAAGACAAAGCACTCGGTACGACTTTTTAATCAATTAAGAAACATTTTAGTATCGTTGATTTCACTTTTATTGGAAAGAGATCTAAAAAAAACTATAATTTAAATGTCAAAAGAGCATTTTAATGCACTATTAATTGTAATAAACAGTTGTAATAAACAATTGTAATAAACATTGTAATGCATTTTAGTTTTTGAAAATTTTATAAATTAAAAATTTGACTTTCCAAAATTACATAAATTTTGAAATTACTGTATATATGATATATTTAGAAATATATTTTTTTAACTTATCTGATTAATGAATGAATTATAAATCAAATCACGCTCTTAATTCGTTATAAAAATATGTGCACACAAAAATATGATTAAACATATGAATAAAATATTAGATGAAAAAGTACTAGTAAAATATTATAAACAATGTTATTTTTTTTACAATTTAGCTTACCTATTAGCAGATCAAGGATATGATGTTTGATTGGGCAATTTTCCTGGTACTGCGTATTCAAGAGCGCATATTTTCCTATCACCGTCAGAATGGAAATTTTGGGATTACAGGTATTTTCGTAAAATAAAAATAACGATGCTTTGTAAATGACTTACAAGGGAACGGTCGAAAGTGACCCTTACCGATTTTAATGAACTTGGAATATGTTTTAGAGCATTGAAAAATATTACACCCGTATTTTTTTTTAGCTGCGTATCTCGACATTTAGGAGGTAAATTATCCTCTTATGTGAAAAAATCGTTTTTTTTTTAATTTTTTAGCCAATACTGTCGAAATGGTAAAAGATATAAGAAAATGTTTTAAATAAAAATTTGATGGTTTATAATATTTTTTAAAACAATGTAATCAAATTTTTCAAAAATGTCAAATTCCCCCCTCTCTCTTTATACTGCACTGTTTTAAAGAATATTAAAATCCATATAACTTTTATTTGAAACATTTTTTTTCACCTTATATCGTTATATCTTATACCGAAATAAAAAAAACAATTTTTTTCAAGGAGGGTTGTTTTACCCTCTAAATGTCAAGATACACAGTTAAAAAAATACGGGTTTAATATTTTTCAATGCTTCAAAACATATTCCAAGTTCATTAAAATCAGTGAGGGTCTTCCAATCGTTCCCTTGTTAGTTTTAACAATATTAGTTCAGTCAGTAATATTGAATTTTTCATTAGCTTTCATGAAATAGGCGTCTACGATTTACCTGCGATGATTACACTTATTACAAATATGAGATCACAACCATTGCACGCGTACATTGGTCATTCTATGGGCGAATCTGTTTTTTACGTAATGGCAACAGAGCGTCCAAAAATTGCTAGAATGGTAAAAATGATGTTCAGTTTTGGACCAGGAATTTTCTTACATTATATGAGAGGTCCACTACGATAGATGTTTTATTTGGTGAAAAAGATGCAGGTAATAATATGTAAATATAATATACTACTTTGAGCTAGAATAAAATTAAGTAAATTGCATTTTGAATAGAAGATATCTTTAATTGCAGCCAATATTTCGAGTTTTGTTCCATGACAAATTACTTACACGAAAAATTTTTAAAACGGCAATGGCATTAATCGGCTGCAACTCAAATTTCCTTCTATCGAAGATGTGCGCTATTTTCATATTTTCAGTCTTCGGTTACGACCGTGAGCAGTTTACTTACGTGAGTAATAACTGAGTAAGTATTCGTCTGCGAAATATAATAATAAATTTAAAAGGTTCTGATATGCGAATACAAAATCATATCAAACAATTTTAAACCGTTGAACGAGAATATATCACAGATAAAAATTAAGGAAACGTTTTGAAGCTTTATCTTTTATTGTGTGTATACACTCACACACACTCACATATATATATATATATATTATTTTTTTTTTAATTTGCTGTTTAGACTCAGCTGCCTGTAATCGTGAGTCACATACTTGTCAGCCTTTCGACTAAGACAGTGGAGCACATAACGCAGGAAATCCAATCGGGCAAGTTTCGTCGATACGACTACGGTGCCACGAAAAATCTCTTAATCTATAATTCGATAGAACCGCCGGATTACGATTTATCGAGTGTTAAGGTGCCGATCGCGATATTCTATGCCAACAACGACTTCCTGGTCGATCCCATTGTAAGTAATATATGTACAAGTAATCTCGTTGTAAAAAATATGCATTGATAAAATGAGAATTATTACATAATAAATTAAAATATAAAATTGAGAAGTTAAAAGAATTATTAATTAGTTTGGAAGAATAACATATGTAGTTATTAAGAGAATTAATTTAATTATATAAAAGAAATTCGTATAATAACTTATAAAATATTTCTTTAAAATGTGAAGAGGTTGTATAATTTACTGCCCAACGTAATAGATTTGTACAATGTGCCGCGGCTCAGTTTTAATCACGTGGGCTTTATATGGGCCGAGGATGCACCTACACTTGTGTACAAAAGAGTTTTTAAAATAATGAAAGGGAAATATTTAAATAATGTAACAACGATATGATAATAGGTACATTGCGCTGATCTGGATTATGAAAATTAAATAAATAAATAAATAAATAAATAAATAATAAATAAGTAAATAAATAAATAACCTTGGCAAAATTGATTTCGACGTAACTAGCAATTTTATTCAATACTTTCACGACGTTTCGACCATTTGGTTGTGGTCATTATCAAGTGAGAATTCTATAACACAATATTACAACAATAGTTTTTAACAATGTTGAAACATACAAGAACATATTTAAATGTTAAGTTATGACCACAAACACAAACATGCCCATCAATTAAAATGAGATTAACGCAACATAAAACCGATCTTATTTAAAATTAATAGTTAAAAGAGGAACACGTCCCATCGCTATGATGTTTCGTCAACGACTAAATTTGAAACCACTAAACAATCTTTATTAATTTGTCGTAAATATTTGTCAAATTCTCAGTGTCTTTCTGTAGGTTAACAGTATTATCATGCTTCTTTATGAAGAACATTTCAGCAATCTCTCTTTTTCTTACATGTTTCTCATTATGTAAAATGGTCGGTGATTTCCAATTAAAGTCATGTCCAAAATCACATCTGTGTTTACTCAAAACCGAATGATTAGACTCATGTAATTTAATATTGCTAGCATGTTCCTTCACTCTAGTGCATAAATGTCTTTTCGTTTGTCCAATGTATGAGGCATTACAATTTTCACAATTAATCTTGTATACTACATTTGTTTCTATATCATTAGTTATTAAATCTTTACCTCGTTTTATCAGCCTATTCAACTTTTTTGGCAAACTATAAACGACATTTAAGTTAGCATTTTTAAGTGACCTTTTAGTCGCTAACGTCTTTAACATATGGAAGTGGAATCACATAATTCTTATCTTGAGTCGAATTCACATTATCGTTATTATCCAAATTATTATTCAAATTATCGTTATTATCCGCATTGTGACGGTTAACATTTCTATTATTATTTAGTACATTAATTCTTTTATTTACATATTTATTATTAATACGACCCGGAAAGCAATTATTAATTAAAATGTTCTTTACAATCTCAATATTCGTATTATGAAATTGTTCGTTTAAAAGTAAAATTGCATGATTTACTAAATTATAAATCGTATTAATTTTATACTTAATAGGATGACTCAAAAGAAAATTGATGTATCTGCCAGAACATGTAAGTTTCCTAAACCAATTAGTTGTCAATTCATTCCCATTGCGGATAACTGTGGAATTTAAAAAATTAATAGAAGAATTGGTCTCTGTATTTCATGCGTAAATTTTAATCGTTCATGATAATTATTAAATGTACTTAAAATTTCATTTATTTTAGAGTTAGGTAAAATAACAAAAATGTCATCCACATATCTATAAAAAGTCTGAACTTTAAAATCGTAAGTATATCTTTTTAATTCTTTGAAGTTTTTATTATTTCGATTAGCTGAATTTTTTAATACTGTCGATAAATAATTTAAAAATTTTAAAGTTGCGATCTTATACCGCGATTGATGTCGCTTTTGTTCAAAATCAAAATCTAAATTTCTTAAAATTATACATCATTGTTTATTATGTATATAATAGTATTTATTATTTTTTAGGACTATTTTTATATTTAATTTTTATTAATCATTACTGGCGACTTTAAACTATTAAAAGAGTTTTTTTAATTTTTATTGTTTAATTCCTATATTAAATTTTTTTTGTGTTTTTTAATCTATAACTATATGAAATAAAAAAATAAATGTTTACATGTAATAGTAGCATCTATATACACAACAAACACATGTGCTATATATGTATATACATATTGTGGGATCCGCGAAAAAGTATCGGGCCTTCGGGTGACTAGACCGGGACCCGAACCCGGAACCTTCCGCTTGCCGGGCGACTGCTCTAACCATTAAGCTACCTAGGCCCTCTGCCTAACCTTCTCGCATCACCCACTTACGTGTTATGGAGGAGTCCCGATACTACAATATACAATAATTGTGTTATGCAAATATACATATAATAATATATGTAAAGATCTAAGAACATTGTGCGCATTATTTTTATTTATACAGAATGTTAAAGAAAAATCATTCAACATTCATAAGGTACCCGTACGACATTTTAGATTTCAGATACATATAGCAAATAGATAAAATTTGTAATGTTGCTATATAGCAGATACACAGTAATACATATAAATTATGTATTAAGTACATGTTTAATACCGATAAATGTCCGCGCTATGGATACGTAATTTACGTTATATATCAGATACATATGATTATATATATTCGATATATGTTAAATACGTAAATTATGTATTTCATACGTATCTGCAATATTGCTAATAGGCGTTTAAAATGTATCATACAGATTATTTATTCATACACATACAGGGTATCGATTATTGTGTAACTTTTTCTGAAGTAAAAACAAAAAGTAAAAAGATTTCTTTCAATCACACATCGATTTCATTTTAAAATTAATGTATGATTGGCGGAAATTTTTAACTTTTCACGTTTTCACTTTAGAAAAAGTTACACCATCAATACTCATAAATAGTACACACAATGCTGTAAAAATATTTTAACAAATATTAGTGTTTGCTGTTATCTAAATAACAATATATAGATATGATCTAGATTAAATTTTCATCTTATCTTTATATAGATGATAAAATATATTATCTATATCTGCAGCTTAGATAAAATGTGTTATATTTATTAAATTATTTAGAATATTGTTCAGATAATTTGGTTTAGAATCATAGCATATAAAAAAACTTAAATAGTAGATCAAGCAGTAAAATATTTAAATATTATAAATATTTTAATTATAAATTTTATAAATATTTATAATATTGAAATAATCTCTACAAGAGATTTAATTCCATACATCCCCTGTTCCCCCTTTAAAAGGGACCTTCCAATTTTAAATTTTGGCCGTGTCCAAGTAAAAATTTAGTGCTTTGTGCACAGGTTTTAATCCTAACGAAAAATTTAGTTTCGTTGAGATAACGCACTGTCATCCGCGATGTGGCTCTTATTGCCTGTTTAACACTCTCAATTTATAAATTACCATATTCATCTCGACTAAAGAGCCAAACGCGATGTTATTGCGACAGATTAAGATAAGAAAATTTGGAAACTAAGGAATTTGAATCCTATGGTTGGGATCTCAGAAATTCCCCTTGTTTCTTCTCTTAACATCCCCTGTAAAGAAATAGACGAGAAAATCTCAATTTATATTTATATTTATATTACAGAGCCTTGTTAAATTCTTATTTTGTTTGTTTTCTTTTATTTGTAAATTTATTTTATTATATTTGTATCTTTAACCTTATGATTTAACGTTATTTCAAAATATTGATATAATCTGCACATTTATGAGTCAACTTGCTTTTAACATGAAAAAGTTTATAAAAATTACATTATTCTGATTGATAATATAAATTGTTTAAATTTATGGAGGTTGTGTATTTATAAAAAAAAATTATTGTTTAGTTATGAATTAACACTTTTCTAAATTATCTTAATTCTTATAACAAAATACAGAAAATATTTCTATTTTTTTATTTTCTAAAAATGCCACAAAAAATTTGAACAAGTATAGGTTTAAATTACATCAAGAATAAAAAAATTTTTCATTACAGTCGATAATGCAAGTTTTATTCCATGGCGAAATATTTCCGCAAGATGTTTATAACACATTAATGACGTTAATCGGCCGCAACCTGAATTTTATCAAGCGGAATATTGCGCCAATAATTTCATATTTGCGCTCTACGGTAGCGACCCAGAGCAGTTTAATTATGTGAGTAATAATTTCTTTGCAAAAAATAATATTAAATTATAAAATAAAGATGGTTGGTATCAAAGACGAGAATCAATGAAAGGATTCATTTTTTTAATTGAATTTTTTAGAAATGTCTTTGGTCGCTCTAATTTCCATAAATTTTAAGATATTTGAGTAAATTTTTTTACAAAAATAAATTATCATTAAATAATGTTTGGTATTGAGTTTTGCGATAATCAGTGAAAAATTTCGATTTTTATAAATATTATTTTTAACAAATATTTTTTTCATTTTTCTACATTTTGAGATAACAAACTAAATGTTTTTACCTCGAAAAATTTGCAACCATATTTTGGTACCAATTTTGAGAAAATCGATCCCTTAATGAAGGTGTATTTTGCGGTCAGACAGACAGATGGTATATATATATTGACAGTTATTAAGCTCGCGCGAAAAAAATATATATTAAAAAAATGTTAGATACAGGTTTTGAAGCCCGCGCAATCGTGCGATTTTATATCGGATCTTATATATTCACAGATAAATATATGTATGTATATATATATGTGTTTTATTCCTTATTTAGACTCAACTGCCCGTTATCGCAAGTCACCTGCCTGCCGCCTCGCTTAAGACGGTGGTGCACTTCGTTCAAAGAATGCAATCGTGCAAGTTTCGTCAATATGATTACGGTGCCATGAAAAATCTCATAATGTACAAGTCGGTGGAACCTCCAGAGTACAATTTATCAAATATCGCACTACCGATGGCGATATATTACGGCAACAACGACTTGATGGTAGCTCCCATTGTAAGTGATGAAAAAAGTATTTATTTATTTATTTGATAAAAAAGAGCGTAAAAATTGAAAGATATTACAGTAGAGTGACTCGGCTGTATAGATAAAATTGCATATAAAGAATCAGGAAGTTAGCTTAAAAGAGAAATTATCGAGCACATGATAATTCATAAAAATGTTTCTTCAAGGATGTGAAGAAGTTCTACGATTTACTGCCCAACGTAATAGATTTCTACGAAGTGCCATGGCCCAATTTTAGTCACGCGGACTTTATATTTGCTAATGATGCGCCTACATTTCTGTATGAAAGACTTTTTAAGATCATGAAAGGGAAATATTGAAACAATATAACAACGATATATGATAATACATTAATCATCTGAATATTTCGCACTGAACTCTAGTAACAGATATACGATTGACAACATTTGCATTAATTTCTATAAAAGCTGATAATATAATTTAGTATTATTTAGAATTAGCATCTACTTGTAAAGTAACAATAATGATTTTATTCATTTTCTTTAAGGGGATCCTTCAGCAAATGACGAACTCCGACAAAATAGCAGCACACATATCCAAAATATGCACGTGTACATATATGTACAAATCGTATTCCTAATTACAATTTTTATTAGACTTCTAATCTAGGTTGAAAGGATAACAGTGCTTTTTTTCATGTCTTCGAATCCCAGGGAATGTGCATTTTTATTCGTACAAAGTGCATGTTTTATATAAAGCACATATTATAAGATTCACACACATGAGATTGTTTATTATTATAGTTTATTGTTATATTCTGCTTCCATCTATCTGTAATTTCTTTTTTCATTAGTGTAACATCACAACAAGTGAACGATGCAATGCAGCATTAATAAATAGTGAGTAGAATGTTAATGCGCACAGTCGTTATTCATTTTGCTCGTGTGTTTTCTGCCTTTTTCCGATAATACATATCCCGATACTCCAAAAAACTCTCGAGCTGTCCGTTTTCATTCCATGTTTAGTGAATTCTTATGGATGCAGTAAGATTGATCGGGTTTATGTGTTTGCTGTCGTTCTACGATTGTCTTGTTGGAGATGCGTACCCCGAACCAAGCGAGCCTGTGGAAAGAATAATTCGGTCTAGTTGGAACAAAGCCGAATTCAATCCTGAAGCAATGTTCAACACTGTAAGTACACACTTTTAACTAAATGAAATGAGGATTAAAGTTTTCATTATTTCAGTTAACTGAATTTCTTTAAATGCTGTCAAAAAATTATTAAAAAATGTGATCTTATATAGGGTGTTACTTAATTTGCGTCCACTATTTATAAGTGCACAGCGTTAATTCTTACAAAAAATAATAAGTCAAAAAGTCCTGAACAATTTTTTTTTTATATTGCCTAATAAAGAAAAATTATTCAATAAAGTAGGGTTGTAAAAGGCTGAGCTTTAGCCTACTTAGTGGGCGCGAATTAAATGACACCCTGTATGTATCGCCCTGGCCGTTTTTCTTTTGTTTATAATACACTAAAAAAAAGTTTGTTAAATTAACAAATATTTAATTCAATACGTTCGAATAATTCATTTATTTGAAACAAATAAATATTTATTAGTTTTGAAAAGGATTTTCTTATATCAAATAAGTATTTTTTATATCAAATAAATATTTATTTGTTTCAAATAAATATTTATTTGTTTCAAATAAAATATTTATTTGAACGTATCGAATTAATTGTTAATTTAACAAATTTCTTTTTCAGTGTAGAAATTGAAATTTCACAAATTAAATTTAAATCATCGTTAAGTAAATAGTCTTTAATAATATTTATCGTTTTTTAGAACCGATTTTTAAAATTTATAATATTGTTTAAAGCTAGTTGTTATTTAATTTTTTTCCTTATTTTAAAATACGTAATAATACATATATGAAATAAGATATGAATATTAACATAAAATAGTAACATGTATACACAAGACACATATACAAACAGTGTTTTACAACTTTTGTATAAAACATATTTTTCGAAACTGTATAGATTTCGTCAAATTAAGGAATTTAATATTTGTTGTACATCTTGTGTATACAGTTGTGTATGTACAAAAATATATGCAAAAGTAAGAAGCAGTTGCGCCATTCATTATACATGTATCATTATATTTATATATGAACATATAGTATATAGCTCTATATTTTATCTTAAAAATAATTATGTGTGTTATTTTTTTAGGGCAGTTGATTTCTTTATGTTGTACATAAAATTATTGAAGTTAGATTGTCAGAAAATAAATGTTTTACGAGATATTTCAGAGTTTATATTAAATTTATATCAACATCAAGGTATAAAATATCTTGTAAACTATTCATTTCTTGATCATCCTATTTTTAAAATTTTTTTGCAGAACATTGCGAGAAATTAATTTCAAAAATATTTTTAAAAATTATTGTATTTTTATTTTAAAATTTCAAGATTATTTTATCTGGCGTTGGCACTACCATTCTAAGTCGAAATGATGAGATCAGCAAATATAATATTTTCAAACTACAATTTTTATCTGAAATTTTTAACTTATATTTTTCGAGATGTTCTAAGGTTTCAATCTTTGTGGAACACTGTATGTATACTTATAGTGAAATCAATAATGATTGCACACGCGTCTGCTACTTAAATTGCATACACATTCAATGTTGCAATATGTTGCTTTTATGATGTTTTTTCATTAATTTCTTTAGAGAAAGAATATACATATATACAGAATAATTCAGAAGTACGAGTGTACAAACTTTGATATATTGTTGTCTGTGAGATCATTCTGAGTACAAAAGTTTAAAAATTTTACTACTCTCATAGTAAGGTCACATGATTATTCGTAGAAAGTGATTCTGAAAAATCAAAATAAAACAGGAAAAAATGTACAAACATCTCATTTGTTTAAATATTAATTTCATAAATAATTTTTCAACATGTGCTCTTTGAGCTTGAATGCAGACGTTGCAAAAACAAATCAAGAAATTGTACACATTACATTAGTTATCCCTGATAAAAAAAATCGATAGAAAACATAGGAATCGATAGGATTTGTAAAAAATTGGAACGTTTTCTATCGTAACCTATATTATTTCACTTTTTATATTTTGAAAGAAATGTTATTGTTTCTTATCATTTTCTTTCATTTTCTGTTATCCATCGGATTCAGTCGTTAGAATACGATAAAATTCTTATAGTAATATATTGTTTTTTATTGTTTTTTTGGAATTTACCGAGAAAAAATGATTGAAAATTTATCGTATTCAATTGTATATAATTGTAGTTATGAAACTACGATTAAAAATCATGCAATCGTTTTTCTATTGTTTTTTATCGATTTTTTTTATCAGGGATGCAAATGGCATTTGCATCGATAATCCTTTAATGCATGCTTCCACTAACACAATGTTTTCTATTTTTGTGCAGCCTGTTTTTCAACAAAGTTAAGCTATTATACTCGTTTTGTGGAATTTTACTGAGAAAAAATGATTGAAAATTTACCGGAATCAATTGTATATAATTATAGTTATAGAACTACGATAAAAAAATGATGCATTCGTTATCTATTGTTCTTTTCGATTTTTTTATCAGGGTCAATTTGCATTGATAATCCTTTAATGCATGCTTTCCCTGATACATTGTTTTCTATTTTTTACAGCCTGTTTTTACAGCTTGTTTTTCGACAAAGTTAAGCTATCATACTTCGATATATCGGTTTGCTGTTTATATCATTCGCAGAGCCAAATCTAGGATGTGGCGAGCGAGGCACTTGCCTCGAGTGAAAGACATGAGGCGGCATAAAAATAAACAATAAATTGAACAACTTTTTAGACAAAAAATTTTTTTTAGAAAAATGCAAAAATGATATTAGCATCAACTTAAGTAGCAATTTAAGTAGCAAGCGCGTATGTTATTTTGACGTGTGTGTGTGTGCATGCGTATGTAAAAAAGAAGGGCGTCAATTACAAATACTAATTTCTTTGAGTGAAAAAATATCTAGATCCGGTTGTTTTTTCGATGGTTTTTTTTTAATACATTGAATTTGTATGTGTATGCGTATATATATATTAAATATAAATTTTTATTTTTCTCATGATCGATAATGATATTTATGATAATTTTCAAATTATAAAACTGTTGATAAATTATTTTCTTCAGTCAAACCCTGTGTAGAATAATGCGTATATAGTATAATTGATTTTTTATCCAAGACAATAATACAATCTCTTCTTTTGTAGTTTTTCAAAATATTTAAGTAGAGAAATGATTAATAAATAAAAATTATTTAATTATATTATTTTTATTATATTTTCGAAGGAGTAAACTTATTTATCTTATTATTTCGATATATTTGCAGTATTGGTAAATCTATATTTTATAATACTGTTATCTAATAATAAAAGATTGAAACTACTTGTTGATTTGACGATTTAGTAATGGAAAAGCTTTGCAATACTGATTGAATAATATACGAAATTTTTTTCGTGTTTTATAATACATTTTTTTGTAATAAATAATTTAAATAATATAATATAAATAGAGAGATAAATAAAAAAAAATAGCTAGATAGATAGATTGATAGATAGAGAGAGACAGATGACAAAGACAGATGACAACAATATCTTATATCAAATATGTAAACTTGTACGCAATTATAATTATGGCTTCGACAAATATATTAACTTTCTTATGGTTATATAAGTTTATACATTATGTAATCACAAGTAAGTTTATATATTTGTATAGCCTTAATTATTATTACATATGTGAATAATCTTTTGTAGTAGATAATTGGCTATGTAAGTTAATATATTTGTCTGCATTGCCATAATTATTGGTGCGCTAATATCTTTGTATAACTATAAATATATTTGTATACATATTTTTAATTAATTATATAATTATTATATAATATACAAATAAGAGAAAAAATAACTATATACATTTATACAATTATATATGTGGATATTTATAGCAATGTGGCTACGTAGCAAATTTAATAGCAAATAAGTGGCTACGCAGACAAATATAAATTCATATAGCCATGTTATGACTACAACAGATTAATTATATTATTAATTATATTATATATTTTTATTAATTATTAATAACAAGACTTACTCGTTTTCTATTATTAATAATGTTTTCTTCTTCAGATATCTCCAAGCGAGTATCTTCTTCCTACATATAAATAAAGAAACAATAAATAAATAATAATTAACAATATCCTAAATAAAGAAAAAAACAATAAATATAAAAGAAGAAACTTACTCCTTTATTTATATCTTCTTGAGATATATCCATAATAATACACTTCACTTAATATTGTTGTTGACAATAACACGCAACAGGTGACAGCTAACCTATCCTATCAGTCCCGTCATTATTACTTCGAGATGTATATACCAATGTCACCAACATTCCCTATCCGGATACTACAACGAATCTCATTGGTGAATCATTTTTCCTCTTAGGTTCACACAGCAGCCAATGAGAGACCGTATTGACGAAATAATACTCATTTTTCACTTTTTATTAATAGAATAAATAACGATAATAATACGCTTTAAACCTTCCTTGATTAATAAGAAACTTATGTTCCAAAGTTCATATAAAACTATGCAGTAGTTATCGAGAATTAAGGTCACGACCGATCCGGGCTCGATGAAACGCATACTTCCTCTCTTTTCGCCAACCTACGGTTGGCAGCAGTCGGGAGAAAAATATGTCCAACACTTTCATTATAGATATAAATATTGTAAAAATTTTAATTACAAAAAAATATGTCCAACACTTTCATTATAGATATAAATATTGTAAAAATTTTAATTACAATAATTAAAGAAAGGGAACGGATAAAATAGAATTAATTTTTGACTTGACAAGAAAAACACTATCTACGCACATAATTTGATCTCAAGATTTTTCTCGGTTTTTGTTATCAATTTGCTGTCAGATTCTGTAAACAGATACTGCTAGCAAATCGTAAACAAATTATGGAAATAACCGATGCTGATCTGTTAGCAACTTTTGTAGAAATTTGTCGCCAATCTGCTAACAATTTGCACGCATTTTGCTTTCCGAGAATCGTCATTTGAAGGTTGTCAAATTCTAGCAATCCTAAAAATGCCTTAAAGAGATCCTAATAACGTTCTTAAAAAGTCTGTTTTTCTCCTGTTTTATCGACAAAATGTAAGGTTAAATGAACTATAAATCTATTTATTGGCTAGACGGATTGTTTTTTCTGAAATTAGACTAGGCCGGATTTGACATTGAATAAAGGAATCTAAGTACATGTTTAGATATCAATTTGGAAGCCTAGTAAACGAGAATAGCACATCCTACATTTTTGTGCATGCAAGTTATTATCTGTGAATGATACTTTTAAAGACTCTCATTCTAACCAAGTATGATAATGATTTTCATGGTATATTTAAAATACAAAACTGCTGATAAGTCAGTGATTATTGTATTTTTTTAATTAAACTTAATACAAAATAATGAGTAGATATAATAAATTTGATTGTAATAAAAACAGTGTAATAAATCTCTTTTTGTAGTTTTTTAAAACTTTTCAACTAAAAAAGATTATGGAAATAATAAAAATCAATAATATTACATTTATATAATTATAAATAATAAATATAAAATATATTTCAAAATTATGTGTGCTGCATAAAAATTACTACATTTATCATGAATAATATAGATAATATACTTTACTTTCCCGATGTAGTAAACTCACTTATAGTTTTACAATGCGTTTACAGTATCATTAAAACTATCTTGCTATTATTTAGAGATTGACATTACAAGACGTTGATCAAATATTTACAAGTTCAACTTGTCAATTTATTTATTGCATTAACTATATCGGAACAATATTTGTCGCATTTTTTAATTTAAATGCGACAATATATCTATATATGCGATAAATAATTTAATTAAAATTCGACAAATTAAAGTGACTTCAAAAAATTTTATATATAATAAGAATGATTATCTTCTTTTAAAGATTTATATATATGCGAAACTTATATGTATATAAATATAATATTGAATATACTATCCGTATTTTCTTTATTTGCTTCATGTAAAAATTGTAAATATAAATACTTTCTTCATTTTACCAGCAAAAGAGTGTAATACAAAAAACTATAATCACATCTAAAAAACTTAGTTGAATTGCTGAATTCTTTATGTAAAATGTGCGTGTGGTGAATTATTAATATACAAAAAAGAATAAATAATGAATAAATGCATCAATCGTAAAAGAAAACAATGTATAGATAATTAAGTCATAATTGAAAAAAAAAACTTATATTATCAGTATACATCTCTGACATGTAATTTGCAAATAACATTTTTTTCGTAAATTATTTATAATAATTACAAAGTATATTTTAAATGCCACTTGATTGCAGTATTGTATATAACTGTGAGTTAAAAAAATATATTAAACATAGTAAAATTTCTACATATTGTAAATAAAGTTATAACTTGAATTGTAATATTAATAAAGAAAGGATTAAATGTAACATTCACTGTATTATAAAATGTGAGCAAAAGTAAATAAAAGCAATATTTCTTAATAGATATTATCTAAAATCGCAAAAATTCATTACTCTATACAAAAATATATACACATAAAAAGAATTACGATTGATTGGTCTCTCCATGTCCAAAAATATCCAACGAACTTATTATAAGTATCGAATCTTCTATGTTATCTCTTAAGGTTTTGATATTTTTGAGACAATTTGTAAAGTTTGGTCTACCAATTACAGATTTCCAACAATGTAGCATCAACTGATACAACATCGGTGGACAGTTGAGAGGTTTTGGCAGTTTGCCTCCCTCACGCACATATTCTATAACTTCGGAATAATTTTTGCCAGGATAAGGATGTTCACCCAATGACATAATTTCCCACATTAGTACTCCGAAAGCCCAAACATCGCTTTGTGAAGTAAATAATCCAAACACTAAAGATTCCGGTGCCATCCAGCGAACAGGAAGTGGGTGGTCTCCTTTCTAAAACACAATTTTATAACACAATTAAGTTATTTTTATCGAACTTCCTTCAGAAGTTTAGAAACAAGCGTTATGCGCATACAGTCAACTCTCATTTTCCCTTCTTCATAGGTATACAAATAAAAAAAATTTATTTTTACCGTTATAATCAGCTTAAAATTGTATGATTATGAAAAAATAGAAAAAAAATTTTAGCTCTCTCAAATAATTGTATTTACCATACGGTAATAGTGATCCTTGTAAATATCTCTGGCTAGTCCAAAGTCGCCGATTTTCACAATACGGTTTTCATGATTTTTTACGGATATTAAGCAATTTCGACACGCGAGATCTCTATGCACAAATTGCTGCCTTTCTAAGTAACAACAGCCTCGAGCAACATCTTCGCACATGGCGAGCAAGTCTTTCAGACGCAACGCGCACGAATCTGACGATTGCAATGTTCCATTATTTCTTAAATAATTCAATAAGTCACCAGGTTCTATTAATTCCAATATAAGTAACGGTGAATTCGTGTTCAAACAAATGCCTAATATTTTTAGCACATTTTTATGTCGAAAGTGGCTCATAAGTTTAGCCTCTTTCAAGAATTCCTTTTTTTCTTTTGAAGAAGCTTGTCTTTTCAGCATTTTTATCGCAACTGGTGTTGTGTCCAACCCTTCAAAATTTTTGATGATTCCTTGATATACCTGTGAAATATTACATAATTAACAGACAAATCAATAAAATGTATGCTAAAAATGTTTATCCTATTTGACTTTTTTTCAGAGAAATTTTAATTTTAACAATTACTTTTATTTAAAAATATGTTTGACCATCAATTTAGACGATTAAAAAATAAAAAATATACTTAAGTAATAAGAAATTGATACCTACACTACCAAATGCGCCGCTACCTAAAAACTTTGTTTGGATAATTTGATTTTTTTCGATTATGGTCAACGCAAATTCGTCTGAATTATATTGCAATCTAGAAGGGTTCAGCAAATTTAGTTGAGTGCACCCGAAAGATATTTCATTTAAAGGTACTAATTCCGTATTGATCATTATTGGAGGCGAAACTATTTCGTTACTTCTTTTGCGTTGCCTGTATGCTGTCATATAAAAAAACTTTTAATACACGACATAATGCTCCGCATTGCAATATCTTAATTCTTTTTAAGAAATAATGCTGACTTTTTCAAATTTTATATGTTTGTATATCTATATACCAAATCTAAACAATTTATAATAAAAATCCAAAATTTATATAAAATATACTTACTACAATAAAAGTAGTAAACATTGTATATTACAATGATTACAATAAGACATAATATTAATGGCAGATAATATTGCATAGCTGTCCCAGTTGCGCTAGGAATCTTTCTTGCATCACCTTTGTTACATAAAAGTACAATTCTTCGTTTCGGATTTTTTATTTAAGATATTTTATCATAATATCTAAGAACTACATTACTTGAAATGGACATCAAGGAAAGATTGAAACGTAATAAGATTAATAAATTGCCAGTTGGTCGACACATATTTCTCAAAAATAAAATACTAACACTCTTCTCTCGACCAATTTGGCAAAGTTATTAATTTACTTCACAACGTTTTGATCATGATTTAGGTCCTTAGCAAGTGATTTGTGAAATGTAGTTAAAATTTAAGAAATTAAGCTAAGTAATGTCAAAAACATGATGTCAGTTTTACACAATGTACTCACTTGCTTACTTCTTAAAATTTAAACTACATTTCGCAAATCACTTGTTAAGGATTTAAATCATGGTCTAAACGTTGTGAAGTGAATTAATAAATTTTTGCCAGGTTGGTCGGGTGTTTATTAATTTTTTTTTAATTCTATCTGGCGGTTCTTCATGCACATAATAATCAATTATTATTAAGACATTTTACTTAAAACTTCATTATTCAATTTCTAATGCGAAAAAACTTTTAAGACATTCTTAAAGTAAATCTATGTTTTCATAACGTCTTCATTTGCTTACCGAGCGTTCCAAAAATAAATTCTTTTCCATCAGACGGCCATGTGAAATTTTTTTATACTCAGTATATTTTAAGTTCAAACGAAATTTGTACTTAGTTTGCGGCAATAAATTTTCTATGTGATATGTTATTTTATCATTATTCCCCTTAATATTATTCGCAATTTCCCATATCCTCTTTCGTGACGCAGCATTTTTGTATTCTAGTATAAGGAATTCAGTAGGAATCGTCAGATTAACGCTTGGAATCCACGAGATATTCATACTGTTTGTATCGATCCCATTCAAACTTAAATTATTTGGTTCGGACATGTAGACTGTTTTTATTACACTGTCAGTGACGACATCTGTCCGAATGGTTGGATACACACTCACGTATATCTCGTATTTTTGCTTTGGTATCAGTGACGGAATTACCGCGAAAAACTTGCCATTTGTCGTACTTTCTAGTTTATTGACTTTTATTGAGCGAACCGAATTTTGATTTTCTTGAGTGTTATTTGGATATTCTACCAATTTTACCTCATAATTCACTGCCACGCAATTTAATTTTTTCGGTGGCATCCAATCAATTACCGCCAGATTTGGCATTACAACTTGAACTACTACATCATCCGGTGCATAGAGCTTGCCCGTAGTTATCAGTTTTACATCTGGGCCGAATTGCAAATCCAGCGATATCTTGTAGGTGTTAGAAATTCTCAATGCCAGCTTTAACGTGTATTCTGTCAACTGCGTCAAATTTTGGAATTCGTACTGCCGTTCGTACGTTTGGACACGAAATTCCTTGAATTCGTTGAGATCATTGTCTAAACATTTTAAATAACTCACAAAGATGTCATATATAAAAATAAAATTGTACTTTTTACATTCGTCAGTGAGATTCGGCTCCGGAAGGTTCACCTTAATGCTGTCTGCAGTTATTAACATTTCTTCAACACGATTATCCTTTGTAGGTATTAGACATATCTTCGGGGGATATGATTGTAAAGTTTTATCAAGAGCTATTAAGTCAAAAAAGCCGTAATGGATTGTTTGAAAACATTGAAATATGTTTTCTTTGCTTTTGAGAAGAGCATTTTCCTTTCTTAAAATATATATTTCTTCATAAGTAATCAAGTAAATATTAATACTATCAATTACTATATCATTAATACGATAAGTAAATTGATTTGGAAATCTTAAAATCATATTGCAATTACAACCATTAATATCCGTGACGATTAAATATTCCTTGTTTATTATCCAATATATTAGCGGCTCGTCAATATTCGTTGTATCAATCGTCATAAAAGTGTAATCAATTTGTAGCAATCCTAGAAATGTCTTGAGGCAGAAGCATGTATTGTCTGCCATATATAATTTGTTTCTACCATTCAAATCCGTTTGCACTATTGAAGAATCTACTGTCCAATATAAATGTCTGAAAAATATTTATATTGCTCACTTTTATTAAAACATTATTATAATTACATATCTATCACAAACGAATATATGTTTATTTATATCTTATACGTTTCTATGTAAATTTATGATTGCATTACTTATGGATCTTTAATACAAAATTTGCATATTAAATTAACAAGTTATAGAACAACACAAATCTTTAATTAAAACAAAAACACAATATATTGTTTGATTTGTTAGATTAATTAAATTTAATGTACCTCTTATATGGTAATACTGTTAAAAATGAAGCATTCTCTTCAGCCAGTGCGATTTTTTCGTATGTTTTGATGCCTTTTTGTTGTACTAATATTAAGTCCAGTTTTATAATGTAAGTACCGTCAATAGTATTTTCTAACCAATAAAGATTTTCACGAATCCAATCGATGCACAGAGAATATGCATTGTCCTCGATTTCTGCTATTATTGTATAATTTTGATTTGTTTCGATTGCATTCGGATTAAATTCCAATGTTATTATTTCTGCGTCAGTAATCCCATAAATCTTGTGTTCCAATGCTGAGTAAACGATTTCAGTACAGTATTTATATATATCACGTTTAAAGCCGATCTTTAAATCTATATCCAGTACATGCAATCTTGATATCTTATAGATGAGTAATAAAGGTACTGGATTCTCATGCGTGGTCGACACGTTGATGAACTTAGTATAAGAGCCAGCACCAAATTTGTTATGCGCTTGTACTTCGAAATAATACACTCTATCAGGTTTTAAATTGTACACTTTAAGTTGCAATATCGTGAAATTTTTGATTATAACAACTCTTCTATGAATTATTTGATTCTCAAAAAACCAATATTGAACTGTATATTTTTGTATCACTCCATTTGTAAATTTAGGTTCGTTCCATCTATAAAGAATATAAAAATATTTTATCTTTTTATTTTTAACAACTTCTGAAATCTATTTACATATAATTATCTATTACACGTGACATATAGATAAGTTTCATTTTAAAAAATCGGGTTGACCTTAAAATGATCTTAAAAACGCTATCTAAAATCAAACTGATAATATATATTTTCGAGATAATTCGCTTTTCAGGAATGGATTTCTCATGCTTATAGAGAAGAAAGAAATGTTATACACCCATAAGTTCGGAAATGATTAGTTCAGGTCCGTTTAAGGTCCGGAAATGATTAGTTTTTGAGTTTTAAAATTCTTGTAACAAATAATTTTTGTCTCATTTTTCGTTTTAGGAATCTTCGCTTAAAGGTATTGACGATATTTTTTAAACATAAATTAATACCAATTGTCGCTCGTATATTGAAAACAAAGTGATAAATATAAGGCCAACTTATCGAGCTGAATATTCGAGATGTTCAGTCAACTACCATTTATTACATGTATAAATTATAAAACTACAGTCATTATATTAAAACTAACGCAAATTACAATCATTCTATAAACGTTTCGACCGCACGCGGTCTTCTTCAGTATAATTATTGAAATATAAATTCTTACAATTCACATGATATCGAAATTTAATTATAGTTATTCAGAATCGAGAGTTTTTGAGCAATTAACGCGTGTTTCAATCCGTCCTGTCCAACAATGTTCGCCTCGATATGATCGAAAGAGATTTTAATGTAGTGCAAACAGTAGTTAGGATAACTACTGGAGAAAAATAGCTTGTATTCAACTCGTAATCAGCTCGTAATCATAGACGATCAAATTAGTCAAAATTCATAATTCTGACTACTTTGATCGCTCATATCTCTGAAACCAATTGTCGGTTCAACTTAAAAATCAATTATAATTAATTTCTTATCATAAAGTATCATTTGGTAAACAAATCAATTCCAAATTCGCGAAACCCAAAATAATCAATTTTTGCGGAAGCTCAATTATCTTTTTTTTGCTTTGTTCGTTATTTTGAATCTGGCAGTTCCGCATTTGCCACACGGCATTTAAAAGTAGGTTTAACGAAAATTTTAAGCACTTTAAAAGCTATTTATCTCAAGAAATAAAATGTGCAGGAGGGTGGCCGTATTGAGAAAGAATGTCCTATATATATATATATATATATATATATATATATATATATACATATATATATCAAGAGACACGGTAGTGTCTCGCGACCAGTTAAGGGCGTAGCGGAGACACCGTGTATCTTAACGCGAGTCGGACATTTGAGTCTTTATAATATTTCGAATCCTCAATAATGGCTGAAGCAATCGAGTTTATACTAGACTTAATCGATAGATTGAGTTCGAATTATATAATAAAAGTGTCTTTATTTCTGCTCTACGTTGTAAGCAGAGATATATAAATGCAAAGTCGAAATATGAAAAATTTCTATTAAGAAACGTCCCCGTCATCATTATCATCATCGACCACGCATACATAGTAGTATCGTGTTACACGTATTCACACGTATACAACACATACGCACACATATATCACACGTACACAACACATGCAAGATGCATGTAGTGGTAATTTTGTCCATCTCGCACGTTTTACAACAGATGGCGATAGTAGCGCTTCGCCATATCGGCAGCGTGCGGGGTTATGTTGGCTAACTCTCTCTCTCTCTCTCTCTCTCTCTCTCTCTCTCTCTCTCTCTCTCTCTCTCTCTCTCTCTCTCACACACACACACACACACACACACTCTCATTCTCACTCACTCACTCACTGTTCGTCTTGTGTACTTATTTAGTACATTCATGATTAAACATCTATATGCATTAATGTGAAATTTACTTACAATTAGTTTACTTGAAATATTCAATCTCTAAAGTGTTTATCTTATAAGATAGACAAAAAAATCTGAGTAAATAATAAGAAAAAAAACAAAAGGATTATTATTGTCATAATTTTTTATCAATTAAGTACTCTCAACTATCCAATAATTAAATAAATACGTACAAATGTGCGCGCGTGTACACACATACACATATTGATATTAAAGAGATTGAAGGAGAGGAAGGAGAAGATAAAAATTTAAATATTCACATATATTTTCAAATATTATATATGAATTTATAGTTTACATATCTAATTAATAATGAATTTCTAATTATATTAAACATATCAAAATAAAGACATACATGTATTTATCAAATGAATAAAATTATTGAATACAGACTTAAAAAATTTATTAACCCATACAACACCGTTAGATTGCAAAAACATTACAACAATCTTTCACCGCAATATTGCAATATTGCAAATTTACTGCAAAATGTTGCTACATCATTGCTGTTGAATTGCAGCAATGTTAAAATGTCCGCTTTTTGAAAGATAATAAAATTATTGATTATCGTTAACATCTTTTATTGTACAATATTGCAAAAAATTATTTTACAATATTACAGTATTATACCCAGCAAATACCAAGTTACAGTTATATAATTGTTAGTTGTAATTTTCCACTCAACAAAATAATTGTTATAATACACGTATTATATTTTTGAATGGGAAATTACAACTAACAATTATATAGCTGTAATTTGGTGTTTGCTGGGTATATGTATATATATTACAATATATAAATTGTAGAATTTGGATTACATGCAATATTTCCGAAATATTAATGTTATATTGCTACAAGTATGCTGGAATTTTGTGCACCTATATCTCTGCAATGTCTTTATAATGTTGCATTGCAACTTGCAACATTGCAACGTTGCTGCAATATAATTGCAATAATCTGTGCTGTATGGGAAACATAGACTTAAAAAATTAATTAATTAAACATATTCTAAATTTAGAAAAAATAAACTTTATTTATATATGCAACAGTTTTTTAAACTAAATTTTGAAATTCTATTTTATATTAGACAATTATCTCAATCAACATCTACGTCCACATTAGCTGCACTGCAGACTACCTCTACAGCCACATTATCTGCTCCGCGGATATAGCGTTATGCCAATTACGATACATTACATGTACTTACTTACTTGCCTTTACTGTACCAACTCTTGTTCTTTCCACGTAATCATGTTTTTACAGTTATCGTTTGCTGTATATCTTCCAGCAAACTTTATTTCGTGTGAAGTGTATTTAATTAATTAAATCTCTGCGAAAGATTGAGAAGATGAAGGGATAATTCAAACTATGAAGACACATGGTTACATGGAAAAGACAAGAGTTGATACAATAATAAAGACATACATGTATTTGTATCCTGCTGGCAGGATAAGGTTATAGAAGTTGATTGAGATTAAAAAATAATAATGAAAATAATAAAAAAAATAAAGACACATGTATTTGTATCGTGTTGGCATAAAGTTATAAAAGTTGATTGAGATTGAAAAATAATAATAAAAATAATTAAAAAAAGGAAATATTCAATCATCATTTAAAAGCATATTTGAAATCTGTAGAATAAACAGTTTTTGCAAAAAATGTGGAGCATTTGAGCTCTAGTAAGTCTAAAAATAAATGTAAACATCAATTAATAATAACTAATGTTATATACAGAGTTTGTATTTTAAGTAATGAGAATATTTTTGTCCTGACGCGGCTGTACGCCAGAGGGCGCTCCGACCGGTTGGAGTCGTGGGGCCTTTGACCTTGATAACGCTCCAATCGGCGGTCGCCTGCTGGCTTTGGTTGAGGCAGGATCACGCGTGGCGTAGACGTCTTCAAAAAAGTGTGTGCAAGTTCAAAATGCAACAAAGCATTGAACAGCGTTACGCAATCAAATTTTGCGTTCGCCTTGGAAAATCGGGTGCATCAACGCTGGAAATGATTCAGCAAGCGTACGGCAGGGAAAGCTTATCGCAAGCTCAAGTTTTTAGATGGCACAAAATGTTTAAAGAAGGCCGGGAGAGCGTGGAGGACGAGCCCCGTGCAGGTCGCCCGTCAACATCAAGAACTTCAGAAAACGAACAACGTGTGCGACATTTGCTGAACACGGACCGGCGTTTAAGTGTTTGCATGATCGCAGAAACGCTAGGAATAGATAAAATGGTTGTGCACAAAATCATCTCACACCTGCTTCGTGGTTACCGAGCACTTGACAAAAAATGGCATCGTAACAATTCCACAGCCTCCCTACAGCCCCGACCTTGCCCCAGCAGACTTTTTCCTCTTCCGCAAAGTGAAAACTGCCCTCAAAGGGCGCCACCACGGGACCCTGGATGTTGTCAAAAGGGCTTGCACGCATGCTCTGAAGGATGTTTCGGTTGGTGACTTCCAGGGAGCGTACGAAGCGTGGAAACGTCGCCTGCAGAAGTGTGTTGATGCTCAAGGAGCATATTTTGAAAACTACTAAAGTTTTGTAGCGATATCTCTAATAAATTATTTTTTGTGGACTTATTCTCATTACTTAAAATACACACCCTGTATATATTATATATATAAACCAATTTGTTGCAATATTCACTATAAAAGGTTGTAAGGGTAAGATGGCTAAAAGTGAATAATTTAAAAGATAGTTAACATAATTTTACATAAACTGAAATATTTCATAAAATAAAATATTTTTAATATTTCGAAGTTTATGTAAGATTATGTAAAAATTATACCTTTACAACTTTTTATAGTAAATATTGCGAGGAATCGATTTATATGAGAAAAATTAAGGTAATTCTATTTTGAAAATATAAGTGACCTTTAAATAACCTTGAAAATCGCCGTTTAGGAAAAAGTCTGTGTCAACTTTTTCTTTTTCGAAATCCTGCAACTTTTATCTAAATTTAATAGAAAATGTATAAAAAATGCTCGACATTAGTACACACACACACACACATACACACATATGGGTAAATTTATATAAATAGGGTGCTTTAGGAGGAATGATCAGGATTCTAGGATATGATTGTACACATCATTTTAAGCAAAGAAGTTTAGATAAACATGTTTAATAATTGTTCTATTCTGGTCATAAAAATATACAAAAATGAATGATATAATCTCTAAAAACTCACCTTTAAAAAAAGGTAAAAAAAGGCGACCAGTTAAGGGTACGCCATTAACAAAAATTATCCATTGCAAACCCATGTAGAATCCTATCCTATTGCAAACCCATGTAGAATCCTATGAAAAATTAATCATTGCAAACCCATGTAGAATCCTAGGCAAAATTAACCATTGCAAACCCATGTAGAATCGTACCCATTGCAAACCTATGTAAAATTCTATAAAAAATTAACCATTGCAAACTCATGTAGAATCCTATGAAAAATTAACCATTGCAAACCCATGTAGAATTGTATTAAAAATTATCCATTGCAAACTTATGTAGAATCCTACATTGCAAACCCATGTACAATAGAATTGTATGAAAAATTATCGATTATAAACCCATGTACAATCGTAACAAAAGTAATGAAATAAAAAAAAAATTGCGCCAAGTGAAAGTAGAAACTTGTACCAGTGGAAAATTAAAGTTGCAGACATATATGGAGTCGTATAATGAATCAGTAAAAATTTAAATTTGCAAATGTAGAATCGTACCATAAAAAAACTTATCTTATAAAAAAAAAGATAAACAAGATGCCAAGTCCATGCGCCATGTGAAAAAGAAATAAAAAAATTTTAGTTAAAAAAACGGTCCGAAAAGCTAGTATTTTTTAAGATTATCCAATAAACAGTTTGTATCACTTGTCAAAGTAAATCTTTTAACAAAGATAGTAATATTTCAATAATCAAGATAGTAATATTCAATAACCATTCTCTGTACTTACTCGAAATTTGAGATCACCCACTGGAGGTTTAGCATATGGTATTCCACGAAAGGCATTGTAAGAATCGCCATAGACGTTTTCCTCAACGATGGCGACTAATGTCCCTTCAGACACATTTACTTTTACTGTTTTGAGTGACCCTGAAAAATTTATGCTCTGGCTATATTATTACGATAAATAAGTATTTATATATAAACATATATAGAATTTGCTTATCGTGATCCAAAAGTTACGCGATGTCAATATAGAGTTGGTATCTTGATAAATATGAAGATATTATAAATAGATAATTATTTTGTGTGCTACAAGAAAAACGTCACTCTTATGAAATATATCTTTGTAACAGCAATTGGACTACTATTAACAAATTCTTCGATATTGTAAACAAAATTTGTCTTGTCGCAGATATAGAATTTTTTTTTAACAAAATTAATTTTCGTTAAAAATCATTTTGCTGTCTTACAACAACTAATATACTTTATTACACAAGATATATGTACAACAATATCAACGAACGGATTCTTTTCAATGTCATTTTATTGAAAAAGGAAATATATATTAGGGGTATATAGAATTATATATACAGAGTATCTCAAAATTACATTCTTCAGCAAAAATTTCGAAAGAAAGGTCATTATTTTTTGCATGTTTCCAATTTTTGCCATATACACATATCTTTGTAACTAAATCTTAAATTAAAATTCTATTAAAATAAGAAATGTGGTTGTATTAATATTTCATTTTTACAAGGTTTAATTTATAATAAGTAATAATGTATAATAATAAGATATAATAAGCTTTACGTTATAATTTAACGAAAAGCTTAATTTTTTTCTATCGCTTATAACTCGAAAATTATTGGTGCCTCGAAATTTTGCCGAGAAAAAATTGTCTTCAAATGATCTCAGGAATTTCCTTATTATCAGAGTGTTTGGTAATTTTAAGACACTCAATATATATACATATTTTTATAAAATTCGTGTTATCTACTCGAAGCACAATTTTCCTTTGTTATTTTCTACCAAATGTTAGCTAGCGTCTGGATGGTATACGTATCTAAAAGCTAGATTACCACAATATTACACATAGAGGCAAGCAATGACTATAGGCTTACTATATATTGATGCTAGTTCGCGTCTAGAAGAACTGGCTCGTAGCTATGCATCCGCGATTTTAAATTTTCACACGGGTGATATTGCATGCGCGCAGCATTAGGGGCAACGGAGAGGCGTTATATGAAAACTTGCTATTGCGTCTTGTCATTGTGTTTCCCGAGGTATGCCCGAAGAATATTGCGATGTGCAGGATGCGCACTATATAAATGCAAATTTACTCGCGGAATTGCGGAAACAAATAAAGTAGTGGTCCACGCACACTGAAGCGGTAATACACAAGTCTACGGAGAAGCTTTCTCGGGCAAAGAGAGATAAATAAATTAAATGTGCAATTGATTGTGAAATAGGGAATTTATTTAAATTGGAAATTATTCTATTCGGTAACCGATCGAGCGACAGTTTGTGTGTTTAAGTGCGCGTTTTCCGCTGGAAAGCTTTCTGTATTAGAGAGCTTTGGATGCTTTCCATAACGGAACGATGTTACATTTTAGGCTTTTTTTCTTGAATTATATACCAACTACAATATTTGCTTATCCAATTAAAATTATATAGATGATCATCTAAATAAGATCTTGTTATTTTGTCTTTAGATAGATAATAAAAATATATATTTTCTATATCTGTATCTTAGATGAACAAAGGGTTATCTTTACTAAATTATTCAGGTAATTTGATTTAGAGTCATAGCATAAAAATAATTAATTAGTATAACTTAAGCAATAAGTATGTCGTCAATGTTTTCTGTTCTCTAAATAAAATTATATATATGCAATTCTGGCGTTATTTTTTTAGCTAGATAATAAAAATATATATTATATGTATATCTGCATCTTAGATGAAAACAATTAAGTGTTATAATTACTAATAAATTATCTAGAATAATGGTCAAATAATTTGATTGAAAGTCATAGCTCGTAATTGCTGTTATTTGAATAAAATTATGTAGATGATCGAGATTAAATTTTGACGTCATTTTATCTTGATATAGATAATAAAAATATGTTTTTATATATGTCTATAGCTGCATCTTGATAAAAAAATGCTATCTTTATTAAATTATCTAGACTAATGTTTAATCTAGACTAATTTGTTTTAAAGTCATAACACATAAAGATACTTAAATAATAAAGCTTAAATAAGCGTTAACAATTTATAAATAAAAATATAAATATATTTTTATATATACCATTTATAATTTATTATATATATAATTCATTTATAATATATTATATATATTTTCTATAATTATATTCACATAAACGGTCTTAAAAATAATATTATCAGAAAATTATTTAGATGAATACCACATAATTTTATCGTTTATCTAGATATATTTAAAACATAATCACCTTTATTTTATTTACCATAATTATTTAAAACATAATTACCTTTATTTTATTTACCACATAATTTTAGCGTTTATCTAGATATATTTAAAACATAATCACCTTTATTTTATCTAAGATTAATTTACATATTTTCATCTCAGCTTTATGAAGTTAATTTAAATATTATTTAAACACAACACTGACCATCTGGTAAATAAAAGTCTTACCTGTGTGGTTACCAAAGACAGGTTGATTGAGTATTTGAAGCGTTAGAATGTATCTCAAAATAAAGATCAGACATAGGTTCACGTTTAACATTATCTCTCTTCACGGATGGCAATATTGTTACACAATATCTCGACTAGTACAGGCTGACGAGGTCAACGATCTGTAATAATTTAAAATTGCAGACGATACATTTTTGCCATAAATAAATTGTAAAAAATGTAGAAATATTGGTATCTGCGAAGTGACGATACATAATATTTTAACTGTATGATGTTGACCGCTGTAACTGGGTCATACATTGTTACACAATATCGCTTATATTGTTGGAAAAACACTCTATTTATTACATTAATTAATTTTTTCTGAACTGATTCTCTCGCAAAAACTGTTGTGTACATGCTATGGAAACAAAGATTCCAGTCACAGGATATTTTATGCTGTGACACTAATTCCTTTACAACACCCGTGTATATACCATATCTATACAAAAATAATAAAGAAATGCAAGACAAAGAACAGATTTAAATATCTGTTATATAAATAACTCTAAGTAAACTAACAAATATTTTGTTGATATCTTGTGGTTCTAATTGAACTACGGAAAAGGCGATAGGAATACTGATACGCAGTGACGTCGCAAAGAATTAGAGAAGTAATGTTTGCTATAAATTTGCTGTATGGCAACGATCGTCTGTTCGTTCCGGTGATTTATATGGTACTGAAAATGTGCGAGAGTCTCGAAACGGCTATCAGTATTATTGTATCGTTATATTTACATTTATTTTCATGTACGTCTGTGTATTGGTGTGTGTCTCCTTCGTCTTGTGTTTATTATAATCCTGCTTACCTGAGTACGTATATGTGTGTCTACGGACATGTATGTCTTTATTTTAAAATGTTTATTTAATTATATTTGTGTTTTTTTCATTATTTGTATTGTATAATTAAAAAATAATATTTTATTAAAATTTATATCATCTTATATCATTTACATTGCAAACATACATTCAAGTAATATCTTCCAATTTTAGCGTTAATAATTGTCTTATATTAGAAAATGGAAAAAATATTGTTTTAACGGATTTTATTTTTCTTAACATTTACTCAAAACAAGTAAAATTTTTTTTACATATTGTACACTTCGATTATTTTAAACATACCAATTATTATGTACAAATTATCTTGTCAGCAAATCTGTGATTTTTTGTATAGCTGGTGGTATAAGAAAACACAAAATTTCATTCGCTATAATTTTTTAAAATACGTTATGTACCTTCTTATCGGAATTTTAAAAGAAGGAGAATACTCGCGAATTATGTTGTTTTCACCTATTTGTAAAAAGTTTATGAATTCAAAAAATTATTAAAATACTTAAAGAATCATAGGTTTCTAATATAGTTTTTAATACATTTTAAAATAACTACTACTACTACTACGACTATATTTTAAATTATCTTTATATATAAATAAATTATATCTTATTGTGGATGATATAAATATTGTTTTTATTGTAATATAAATATATATTTAATAAATATATTTTTTAATCAAAGAAACTTTTGTATAATTCTTAAAATATCATTTTGTACAGTCCATTTCATGATTATTTATATTGGAAAATTCTCGGTGTATACATCTATAGAAAAATAATAAAGAAATTCAAGTAAATAAAGAGATTTAAATATATTACATATTTTTATATAAATAATTCTAACTGAACTCACTTTATATTGTTGATATCCTGTAGCTTTTATTGCACTACGGAAAAGGCGATGCTGATAGTGATGCGCAGTGACGTTGCAAAGAAATTGAAGGTAATATTCACTGTAAAGCTGTTCGGTAACGATCGTCTGTTTGTTCCTGCGATTTATATGGTACTGAAAGTGTGCGATATTCTTGAAACGACTTCCAGTGTTCTTGTATCGTCATATTTACGTTTATTTTCATGTACGTCTGTGTATTGGTGCGTGTCTTCCTCGTCTTGTGTGTATTATATTCTGCTTGCCTAAAAGTATGTATGTGTGTATCTGCGCTGATTTGTATATGTGTCAGGGTTGGGAAAGTTACTTTGTAAAAGAAACTAGTTACAGTTACAGTTATTTCATTGAAAAAGTAACTAGTTACAGTTACAAGTTACCGATTTTAAAAAATAATTCGTTACAGTTACAGTTACTCTAAAAGTAACGAGTCGTTACTTTTCAGTTACTTTTTAAAAATAATTATACATTGTTTTAAATATAAGGAGCTTACATTTTATGCACAATTACAGTCAAGTATTTAAAAAAATTCTTGAATGTAATATTGATCGATTTGCTTGCGACTTTGCAATTAACATCAATGTATGAATGACCTTTATATACAACAGTAAAAATAGTTAAAGTAAGTTACTAAATGGTAATCGCAAAGTCGCAAGCAAATTGATCAATTATTACCTTTAAGAATTTTTTTAAATATTTGACTGTGATTGGTCGATCTTAATTATGTGTTATATTATTTTATGTACACAAAATGAAAATTTTAGGTAAAAGATTAAATCATATGAAGATCCATATGCTACTGTTATCAAAATTTAATTTAATAATATAACCTACCATACTTAAACAATACTTTTAGCGCATGTTTCCAAAAAAAGTAACTAATAAAGTAACTATTAAAATAGTTACTAGTTACTAAAAAAATGTAACTAAGTTACTGTTACAGTTACAGATGGAGAAAAGTAACGAAGTTAAGTTATAGTTACCGAAAAAAAGTAATTGTAACTGTAACTTCGTTACAAGTAACTCGTTACTTTCCAATCCTGATATGTGTGTATATTAATTTAAGATCTCAAAGAACAAATCCAATCGTACAACCTCCAGCTAGTGCGTTTTGGGTGCAGCTGATGTCGGCGATAATTGAAAGCTTGTTTTATTGAAAATAACGTAATTGACATCAATCGTGTTTATTACTAGCATTTATAGTGTACAATATTCATATCATCTCTCAATGTATTTTATTATCATATCATTGTTCATTTGAATATTTCCCTTTCATGATCTTCAAAACTCTTTCGTACAAAAGCTTTGACACATCCTTAGCAAATACAAAGTCCAGATGATTAAAATTGGGCCACGGCACTTCGTGCATATCCATTACGTTGGGTAGTACATTGTAAAATCTGTTCACATTCTGGAAGAAACATTTTTCGAATTATCATGCATAATAATTTCTTTTAAAGACTATATTTCCGATTATAAAAATACGAAGTATTATCTACATCCCAGGTAGCAAGCTGACGTTAAAATGACGTCATTCGACAACAAAATAATGTCATTTAATATCAAAATGACGTCATTTTGACATTTAATTACGTCAGCTTGCTATATCTGGGATATATATAAAGTCAAGTTACAATCTCTACTAAAAAAATCTTATAATTACATTATTTATCAATAAAGAAGTAGGCGTACGCGATTCGATTACTTGAACAATGTGCATCACAGTCTTAAGCGAGACGGGGATTGGTAGGTGATTCACCATAAAGGATAGCTGAGTCTAAATAAGTAGTAAAAACACATATGCGTATATACTACACACATACACATATATACAGGGTGTCCGGTAACTAACGGACCAACGATTACAAATGGATTTTTTGGTCAATTTGGGAACGATTTTTTCTTAGCGAAAATGTCGAAAAAGGTCATCATTTTTTACAACTTTCCAATATTTGTCATTATGTATTTTTATAACTAAGCCTCAAATTAAAATTTTATTATAGTAAACTTTACCTGAAATTAACTGAAGAATGTAATTATGTTAGACTTTTAACTCCAAAACGTTTAGTTTAAAAAAAAAAAACATTTTTTTCAATCGCTTAGAACTTGAAAATAATTGACTTCTCAACATTTTTGCTAAGAAAAAATCGTCTCCAAATTGGCCAAAGAATCCGCCCTTAATCATTGGTCCGTTAGTTACCGGACACCCTGTATATATGTATATATATGTATATATATATATATATATATATATATATATATATATTTTAACACTAATTTAACACTTATCTTTTATACATATATACAGAGAATTTTTATATTATATTTTATATACAGGGTGATTCAGGAGGAAAGGTAAAGATTTTAGTGGGTGATAGTATAGGCAAATGCGAACAAAAAATGTCCTATTAACATGTGTCTTATTTTTATTGGTTACAATAAACCACTCACAGCAGAAAAAAGTCAAAGGCACAAACAAAAGTAGACGCAAATGACTAAGTTCAAAGTTGATTTTCAAAAATGCCACCTCCGACTTCAATACACTTTCTAATTCTTTTGACTGTACTACGTGTAGCTCTTCTGAGGTCATCTTGACGTTCTTTTATGAGAGCAACAGTATTCATAATTATAAAAATAAGACACATGTTAATAGGACATTTTTTGTTCGCATTTGCCTATACTATCACCCACTAAAATCTTTACCTTTCCTCCTGAATCACCCTGTATATATATATATATGTATGAATATATATATATATATATATATATATATATCCATTTCTTAAAGAAGCATGTAAAGTCAATAATTTTATTTCTCGAAGTTTATTGTTGTCTTTTTTTGCGATGTTAATTGGTTGTCTCGATTCGCGTTATATTCGTAGCATTGAGCAGCTGTCATTACGAGGGTTTTTAACAATTTGACAGTAGAGTTTAAAATAAAATTAAATAAAATCATGAAACAAAATCAAACAATAGCGCGCGCAGCGTGCGCTTATGTTGTCTAGTGTATATAAATACAAATTTCGATTAGAAGTGTAATCGCACAATCCTGAAACGTAATAATCATTCTTTGATTGCGATATTTTACAAAAAATTAGATATGAAAAGAATTAATTAAAATCAGGCGCAGATATTATGCGCGACAAACTTGTCTGTACACTCCTCTCTAATTATATTATACATTAAAATACATATATTTATTTATTTTATATATCTTTTTTAAACTCTCCCTCCAATTATTTTATATAAATTAATTAAATAATAATTTTTAACTTTTCTCTTGTTCTCTTTCTCTCTCGCTTTCTCTAATACCAAATTATAAATAATATATAATATAATTTCAAAATAAAATTTTATATCTTACACAATAGATAAATAAATTTTCAATTCTTCTATAGTTATTTTAATATAAAATATTAAAAGAATTTATTAAATAAATAAAAAGAATTAAAAGAAGAGAATAGTTTTGCATAAAATAATTAGAGAAGAATGTGAAAACAAAAGTTTGTTATTTAACATACATATGCGTCTGGTTTTTATTAGCTCTTTTCGCATCTAATTTTGTATTTGTATATTAGAGATTTTCGAATTTATTACTATTATTTGCAAAAGAATTATTACTTACATAATTCAATTGCTCTGGGTCGTAACCGTAGGGCATAAATACGAGATTGTTGGCGCACAACTCTTCTCGAAAAAAATTCAGGTTGCACCCCATTAATATTATTAGTGTGCTGGAAGCAGCTTCCGAAAATAGTTCGTCATGGAACAAAACTCGCAATACTGGCTGCAATCAAAATTCTATTTATTTCATAATAATAATAATTTACTCGTAAATATATAATCGTTCACAATTTTGGTGATATTTTTAAACAATAAGAAAATTTTTTAGCATATTATTATATTGTACAAATTAAAATAATTTATAGAAGCGTTAATTCTTAACAGAGCATTATATATTCTTAAATTAATACAAAATTTTTTAAATTTTAACGACTTATATTTTTAATCGAATAATATATAATTTTAATACATTTTTTTATGTTCACAATCAAGTTGACTTATAAATTAGCAGGTCATATAAACATTTTTAAATAACACATAAGGTTATTAAAATACAATTCAAATAAATTTTACGAATTAATTTTAAAAAGATTAAATTGCTTCCTCGTATTAAATATTTATTACATGTTTAGAATTCAACATGTTTAAGGAAATAAATGTTTTTTTTTTTCAATATTTTGAAGCAATCTTTTTGGAAAATATTTTCTATGATTAAAATATTAAGATTCAACATTATCGATATCAATATCGTAATTTATTACACTGTTTTGTTATATTTTAATATTAATAAATATTTAAATAATATAAATATTTTGTGTTTTATAAAAACTTTAGGTATATCATTGATTTCTCATGAAAAACCGTAAAAAACAAAACATTCTTAAAAGTAATAATATTACGTAAGTAGTAATAATAATAAAAATTATTCATTATTTTTTTAATTATTTTAACAAATCAATATTCAAGAACAATAACAAATGAAGACAACGAGCTACTTTATATAGTAATTTTTTAAAATTTTGGACAAGATATATAGAATGTTGTGTTATTTATGCATTACTTTATAACAATAAAAAATATTATTTTCCATAATTTCTTATTATTATTTCTAACATCAACTTTTGAAACTAATTGTAAGTTTTAAAATTCTATAAAATAAATTTATTGACTAGAATTACTTTAAAAAATGTAATATTTGTATTATCTTTTTGGCTACCTGTAATTCTTCAATCGCCTAACATAATATTTATTGGTGTTTCTATATTGATGCAAAAGAAATACATATTTACTTATACGTATATATTTATAATGTTTAAGAGAATAAAAAAGAAATATGTTTTTTATTCTCAATATATATATATATATATATATATATATTTTATTATCAATATATATATATGTGAGTGTGTGTGAATGTATACATACAATAAAAGATCAAGCTTCAAAACGTTTTCTTAATTTTTTATCTGTGATATATTCTCGTCCAACGGTTTGAAAATTGTTTGATATGATTTTTATTCGTATATTAGAACCTTTTAAATTTATTATTATAATTCGCAGACAAATACTTACTCAGTTATTACTCACGTAAGTAAACTGCTCACGGTCGTAACCGAAGACTGAAAATATGAAAATAGCGCACATCTGCGATAGAAAGAAATTTGGGTTGCTGCCGATTAATGCCATTGCCGTTTCAAAAACTTTTCGTGGGATTAATTCATCATGGAACAAAACTCGAATTATTGGCTGCAATTAAAGATATCTTCTATTCAAAATGCAATTTACTTAATTTTATTCTAGCTCAAAGTAGTATATTATATTTACATATTATTACCTGCATCTTTTTCACCAAATAAAACATCGATCGTAGTGGACCTCTCATATGATCTAAAAAAACTTCTGGTCCGAAACTGGACATTATTTTTACAATTCTAGCAATTTTTGGACGCTCTGTTGCCATTACGTAAAAAACAGATTCGCCCATAGAATGACCAATGTACGCGTGCAATGGTCGTGATCTCATATTTGTAATAAGTGTAATCATCGCAGGTAAATCGTAGACGCCTATTTCATGAAAGCTAATGAAAAATTCAATATTACTGACTGAACTAATATTGTTAAAACTAACAAGGAAAAGATTGGAAGTGACCCTCACTAATATTAATCAACTTGGAATATGTTTTGAAGCATTGAAAAATATTAAACTCGTATTTTTTTTAACTGCGTATTTTGACATCTAGTAAAACACCTCCCCCCCTTGAAAAAAATTGGTTTTTTTATTTCAGTATAAGATATAAAAAAATGTTTTACACACACATATAAAAGTTATATGGATTTTAATGTTTTTTAAAACAGGCAGTATGAAGAGAAAATGGGGAATTCGACACCGCAAAAACTTACAAAAAATGCTCTTGATGATATATCTTCTTTGTTTTTTAATACTTTGTAATAAAAAAATTCTATAGATACTTCAAAATGTATACATTTGAATAATTAATCATTTATTTTAAAAAATCTTTCAGTTTAAAAGAAATTACTAAAAATACATGTTTTTTTCGGTCTTATAGGTAGGTATAACCCCTTAATAAGATAACGTGTTACGACTTAAAAATCGGGCAGCCATTTATAACAAAGTAAAATATGCTAGTATGGCAACGTACCAGCGCGGCGTTTAAATGTGTTTAAATTGTCTCCATCGTTTTAATTTTTAAAAACAATTTTTATTTATAAATTAATACAAATTGTCGCTCGTATATTAAAAACAAAGTGATAAAAATAAGGCCAACTTATCGAGCTGAATATTCGAGATGTTCAGTCAACTACCATTTATTACATGTATAAATTATGAAACTACAGTCATTATATTAAAACTAACGCAAATTACAATTATTCTATAAACGTTTCGACCGCACGCGGTCTTCTTCAGTATAATTATTGAAATATAAATTTATACAAATTCACATAATATCGAAATTTAATTATAGTTATTCAGAATCGAGAGTTTTTGAGCAATTAACGCGTGTTCTAATCCGTCCTGTCCAACAATGTTCGCCTCGATATGATCTCTGATTTTGTTCAGATCTTGGATAGTTTCATCGTTAATATGCGAGAAATTAACCCGTTCCGTAGGCGCTGCGATTAATAAAAAATTACCGATCAACGTATGTCCAAATTATAATATATATCCCCTACAATTGGTAGTATGCTTACCTATTATCGTCCTTCTTGACAATTTTGCCACTCATTAACAGTTATTAAGGATGACACATAACAAACCAACAATACAGAAAGACAGCTCATTTTAAACTCTACTTGATCGGAGAGCGTGCGTGTTTATATATGATCTAATATCTATGTTTGACTCGTTAATGTCCTATTTGTCTTATTATTATTTATTGTTCGCTAATATATCCAAAATATCAAAATACGACTCGCTAAGTAACTCAGTATCATTGTTTAAATTTAGTCCATTTTTTTGTTCCTTGATATGTAGCATCTCAGAAATGAGTCTTTTATAATAATTATTTTCGTTGTCCATGATCTTAACATTGTCCCAATTAAAAGTATGATGTTCATTTCTTATGTGTTCAGAAATTACTGAATGTTTCGTTGAGTCCAACCTAATATTATTTTTATGTTCTTTAATTCGCGTCTGCAATTGCCTCTTTGTTTGGCCTACATAAGATGCATTACAATTATTGCAACTGATCTTATAAACCACATTCGAATTGCATGGATGTTTAGTTTTATCTTTCTGTGCTTTAATAATATTATCCAGTTTGTTGAGACATCTATACCCTACCATACAATTTTTATTTTGTACCGAGGAAACAATCATTTCTGAGATCCTATCTATATACGAAATGACAAAGAATTTTTTATTAACCGAGTCATTTCCTACCATTAACAAAAATTATCCATTGCAAACCCATGTAGAATCCTAGGCAAAATTAACCATTGCAAACCCATGTAGAATCGTACCCATTGCAAACCTATGTAGAATCCTATGAAAAATTAACCATTGCAAACCCATGTAGAATTATATTAAAAATTATCCATTGCAAACTTATGTAGAATCCTACATTGCAAACCCATGTACAATAGAATTGTATAAAAAATTATCGATTATAAACCCATGTACAATCGTAACAAAAGTAATGAAATAAAAAAAAAATTGCGCCAAGTGAAAGTAGAAACTTGTACCAGTGGAAAATTAAAGTTGCAGACATATATAGAGTCGTATAATGAATCAGTAAAAATTTAAATTTGCAAATGTAGAATCGTACCATAAAAAAACTTATCTTTTAAAAAAAAAAAGATAAACAAGATGCCAAGTCCATGCGCCATGTAAAAAAGAAATAAAAAAATTTTAGTTAAAAAAACTGGGCGCGCTGCTAAGTTTCAAAATTACAATGCACCTTAAAGTAACATTAATTAATTTAAACACAAAACATATTTTAACTGTAATGAGTTTAAAAGTAACAATTTAATTTTAATATTGTTAGAATATTATTTAGCAGCGCTCCCAGTTTTTTTAACTAAAATTTTTTTATTTCTTTTTTACATGGCGCATGGACTTGGCATCTTGTTTATCTTTTTTTTTTAAAAGATAAGTTTTTTTATGGTACGATTCTACATTTGCAAATTTAAATTTTTACTGATTCATTATACGACTCTATATATGTCTGCAACTTTAATTTTCCACTGGTACAAGTTTCTACTTTCACTTGGCGCAATTTTTTTTTTATTTCATTACTTTTGTTACGATTGTACATGGGTTTATAATCGATAATTTTTCATACAATTCTATTGTACATGGGTTTGCAATGTAGGATTCTACATAAGTTTGCAATGGATAATTTTTAATACAATTCTACATGGGTTTGCAATGGTTAATTTTTCATAGGATTCTACATAGGTTTGCAATGGGTACGATTCTACATGGGTTTGCAATGGTTAATTTTGCCTAGGATTCTACATGGGTTTGCAATGGATAATTTTTGTTAATGGCGTGCCCTTAACTGGTCGCCTTTTTTACCTTTTTTAAAGGTGAGTTTTTAGAGATTATATATATATACAGGGTGTCCCATAATTTGCGAACCACTGCAAATGGGCAGATAGAGTGTGTTAAACTGAATAGAAAAGTCCTGTATCATTTTGCGATATTCGCAATAATTATTGAGTTATTTATTAAAATATCTAAACGAATAAGCAGGTAGAAAGCATTATTTGATCGAGAGGCGGCGTCATGCAGCGAGCGGCGACCAATGTAGTAACGCCGAAAAGTAAGATGATAATTTTGATACTAAGCGGCATATAACAAATAAGTCATCCGACATGCACACCGAGTCCAACGTACCGCTTTCGACCCGCTCATTCGTTTAGATATTTGGGCAAATAACTCAATAATTAATGCGAATATCGCAAAATGATACAGGACTTTTCTATTCAGTTTAACACGCTCTATCTGCCCATTTGCAGTGGTTCGCAAATTATGGGACACCCTGTATATATATATATATATATATATTATGTATATATATATATATATATTGACATATGTGGTCTGTCAAAAAAAGAATTAAATTAAATATGTACCGCATATTATGGTAACGTTGTAAAAATCATAATCATATGCGGAATGTAAAATATAATTTTTCCTTCAAAAATTACAAGTTTTAATTCATTTAGTTGTATTTATATATGTCTCATTATAACATTTTTTGTAAGTATAAACCTCATTGTTTTCATGAATCGTTATTCAGAGAAAAATATTAAACAAATATAAGCGATAAAAGTTAATAATTAGTACTTATATTTTAACGCATGCTTAGATTATATTATTTCATAATAAATTTTGATGATTTGAAATAAATGTACATACACAACATTTTATATATATTTATATGCATATTTTTTCAAACTTATTAGATTTTGAAATATTTACAAATAGGAGCTTTTAAAAATACTTATACTTTACAAATGAACTCTTACCGACTTCATTTCTTTTTCTCACAGTGTCGTTTTCAAAATAATACTGAACAGATTCGATATTTGATGACACGTACTCATGGACATCGATGAATCTGAAGGATGGGTTATCCTAGTAATAAATATGCATCATATAACTTATAAAAATCTACTATTCCATTGAATCACATGATAAACAGTACATAATGTGAGATTAGATTAAAACTTATTTGGCAAATAATTTAATAAATAAAAGTCATTGTAGTAATAAATGCAAAATTCCAAATAGTTAAATTAATATATATGTGATAAATGTCCCAACTTTCAAATCAATGTTCAACTTTATTACAAGTAGAAATAACCTTTGCTTTTCTTTCGAGATGACGGTTTTCGATTTTTTTATAATTATAGAAATGACATGTATAAAGGTAAATTAAATTATTATAAAATATCCAACTAGATACATATGTACAATAGATATACACTACTGTGCAATATATAAAATACTGTATAATATATAAAATACTGTGTTAAACACCGTTTATAGAAACTGTTTTTATTGTGTTTCTGATCAAAATATCTTTTTAAGTATCAAAGATTTTTCTTGCATTAAAGAGAAAGTTGCTTAAGGAACGCAAGATTAGATTAATAAAAATTATAAAGAATTTATAACAGTTTGTCTTACAAGCCTGGTTCTTTTTAATTGTTAAAATAGTTTTGTCTAATAATTGGGGTTTTATATGAGTTTATGTACATATGTTTACGTATATATATATACTTTAAATGATAAATTGTATATTAATTGGAACATATAAAGAATAATAGCTGTTGTGTATATTATTAGCTTCGAAACTGTTTGATTGAGAACGCAATTTATTGTATGGAATTTTATTTTACCGATTTTCTATTTCAACATTTAGTAGTTTTGTACGCATGCAATATAATTTTACTAAAAAATTCTAATTTTCTATATTGATTACTTTAAATAACAAATAACTTACTAAAAATTTTATACAAAAATCAATAAATATAAATATTTAAAGAAAGTTTTAGAAATCACAAAAGAATAATGTGAAAATGTATCTGTGCATAAAAAATATGATATAAATACGTATGTTTGTCATGTTAACAGAAGATGAATCTCATACAGCACAAAACATTTCAGAGACTTTCGCAGAATTTATTCAAAAATATTTTATATACGTCTTAAACATGTGAAAATGTCCGCTATTTTTACACAAATATGTTTATGAAAGATTGTATA